CTTAGAAGCTCAGTTTTTTTTGTTTTTTTAAATGTTTTTGCCTGATGTCCAGGCTTCCTGACACAGACCCAGGCCCAGAGCTTCAGAAAACGTGCGGTTGCAACAGGAAACAGGGAACTATGACTAACAGGACACGGTGCGGAGGACAGCTGACATATTCATCTGTCTTCACCAGTCACGTGCATCAAGTTTTTCCCTTGAGGTCGGATTAAAACGAGCTCCGATGGTAGTTTTAGAAACAGTTAGCGGATGTTGCTAAGGAGTGGAGATTTAGTGGACACGTGTCTTCAATCATTCTTTATTTTTATTTCACTTCTTTGGTCCATGTGAACTAAAACTGTCGCTGCACTTTTCCTTCACCTGGTTACGTTTTGGTGCTTCCTTATCCACCATTCGTGCGCCAGGACTGGGATTTGAACCAGCGATGTTAAAGTCTATTATATTTTCATCCATCTTTTAACTCTAAATTTAGTCAAGTGTGGCATTTTAGCGTCAGTGCCTTGAACCAATCCCTTGCAGTTATCACCTGGGAGGCGGGGCTAAACTCTGGTTAGTCCATCATGAAGCCACATACAGAGACAAACAACCATTTAGATTAGATTATTATTTAACCTATGGGCAACGAGTATATAGGCCCACCCACACTGAAAGTTGATCTGTCTATTTTGTACAATCAGCCAATCAGGACACAGATGAAAAGACCCTCACGTGGACATCTTTTCTTTTCTTTTTTTTACTGTGATCAGATTAGATTAACTGTGTGACACTACATTGGGGGAGGGGAGGGGGATCGAACCTGTTACCAGTGATTTCCTTGCTGTAAGGCACGTGTGTAAACCACTTCTTCCACCATATAGAAAAAATCCAGAGGGCGCTGTGTTGACCAGGACTGGTCTGCATACCAGAGGTTGATTGTATCAATCTGTAATTGCTTTGAGAAAAGGTTTGGAAACGTCGGGTGTCGTCTTCTCTGTGATAATGGTTATCGGATGTGCACACGGTGTCACATTTATACACGCTCGTTACCAATTGCAGGGTGTAATTACCGTAATTAATATAATGATCGTACAGTACACGCCTCTCATTGAGGAGCTCCACAGTTTCTGCTCCCGGAAAATCCCCGAGTCAACAGAGGCAACTTTGATCAGCAGCAGCTCATGGTTTTGTCGAGCCCGATAACCGGGATTCCACTGGAGCCGTGAAAGGACTTTCTCTGTGACGGGACCCGGCTGAGGTAACGGCAGATGGTAGGCTCGGTGAAGCCGGATCACGAAGACATATCCTGGGTACGTGGAGCTTATTTCTCCGCACAGGCCACGCACTCCCCGGTCAGACCGAGGACTGGCTGTGGTTGTGGCGGAGAGCCGTCAGAGATGCAGCCTGCAGCCACCGGCAGCAGTCGACTGTCGTAAATGTGTAGTAGAATGATGCTGTAGCGAGAGTGACGTCAGAGCATCTCAGCGTGACGTTTTTGATGATTGGTATTTTCGTCTCGGTTCGGTTCGTCTGCGCTGCTGGACCTGATGGCGATGCTAAATGTTAGCATATAGCTAGCACGAACCACAAAACCGCCGCGTCCTTGTAATGATAACAATCAGATAAAACCGCATCAAGTTCCTGTTGATCTAACCCCGTAAATGTAAGTAAGAGTAGAGTTAGGGCCAAGGAGATCCACGAGAGCCGGTGCTGCTGGGGGTTATGTGGAGGGTTCGATTCCCCCGCTACCTACAGTAGTTCATCAAAACAAAGAAGAAAAGCTTAGATGAAAACGAAAAAGATAAACAGCATGTTGTTACAGATGTTATCAGTTTTCCTCGAGATAAATAAATAAAGCTTTCACATTATTAGGCAACAGTTTTTATTATTATTATTATTATTATTAGTGGATTTAAATAAATCAGACATTTTACCAAAATAAAAAAAATACAGATATGCAGACAGTGTTTACTGTGACGTCGAACCATGTATTTATTATATCAAGATATAATATGATATTTAAGGAATATTTAAGCAATACTTTAGGTGTTTTTAAAAATATATATATTTTTAGATGAAGCCTGAACAGTCGGACCTAGAAGTTTGGTAGTTTTTGGTGCTGGTTTGAATCCCCCGCCCGCCATGGTTTTGGTGATGGGTCAAATGCAATATCATGTACTATGACAATAAAGTATCTTTTCTACTTCTTTGGAGTATTCAGAAAAAAAAACCTGGAAGAGCATGCTGGGAATCAAACGGTTGACCTCACATCATTTGTCCACGTGTGCCTTCATCAGCACTTTGTTGTGAGTGTTAACCATCACTTTTGTTTTTTTAAGATGCCAAACTTTGTTTCTTAGAACAATGGTTCACAATGTAAGGTTTGCGTAACACATGTTGGTACACGTTCTCCACCTAGTGGTGCGCAGGGGAATCTGATTCCCATTTGGACATGGGGTTGAGTCACTTAGTGGTTAAATATAGCTTTTATATGTTGCTGCTGTGGGTGTGTATTTGTGTAGGTGCAGCGTTGACTTAAATTACCACTGGGTGGGGCTATTAAATAGTAAGGTGTGTGTTGGTCTGGTGAATATGTTTATAGACGTATAAGGAATAAATGATCTTCTCTGTATACTGTACTTGGCTGAACGCAGTAGACCGCGCTGCTGTATTGTAGTATTGATTATACTGTACATGAAGTACATGGATTTTTAATTGAAGAATTTTACAGTCAGATTAATAAATAGCACTTAAACGTTTTCAAACAATTAAAGCCAATTGTATTCAAAGACATTGAAGAGTGTGGGTGTATTGATATATTGACAGTCAGTTCTTCATCACAGTGATCAATAGTTATAATGATGTTTAAGCTGTGGATGTGGAGAACCGGCAGGGACTGGCTGTGGACGTGAAGCACTTACATGGTTTTGGCATTTACAGCTGCAGCGAGCAGGAGGTGGGGGGGCGGAGAGAGGGAGGGAGGGTCTGCAGAATGTGCTTGGGGACTACAGAGTATGTACGTGCACCCCCCACAGCTCTGGACATATGGATGAATCATGACTCACGTGGTTCAGATGGTCCCAGATCAGCTCTCCTCTCAGACACTCCCTGACTCCAGGCCCGGACCAGTCCAACAGCTGCAGTTATCATTTATTTATACACGTCTCAGCGATGATGATGATAAGAACCAGCTGGACTTTGACTCAGTCAAAGTTGACTGTCTAGTACTTATGATACTTGAATCAGAAATGAAGTTTTTCCCTCATTCAAATAAATTAGAAATTTAAATTCAAAATCATAACATCAAGAAAAAGAATCTTGGCCATGTCTTAAAAAATAAATAAAAAATGGAATTAGAGGAGTAAAATTGTGAGTTACCCACAATGCATTTGTTACCCACAATGCATTTGTTGCACACAAAGTATTTGCCAATTGCAATCAACCGATCAATACACATTAATACAGACCATAAGTCAACCATACACCTGAAGGCCTGGTGGGCCACATAAGAAGATTTGATGGGCCGGGTTTGGTCCACGGGCCTTCAGTTTGACACGTGCATTTCAAAGAATCTTTGTGCTGAACTTTTTATTTCAAGTTTGGATAATCAGAAATCTCTCTGCAGTATGTTTTACTTTGAAATGTGTTGTACTTTATACACTCGGAAATACCTATAGTAATACCAGTATTGTATTGTGGTATTTTTATATTTGGTATTAAGAAGTAGCTCTGTTGTACTTTCTACTTGAGTGCTAAGAAGTACCATGTACTTAATATTACTATCTCTGCTGCTGTTCTTTACTTCACAAAGGTGTAATATTAGCCGTGTGCTAACTGCTGCTAACCCATGCTAACTGCTGCTAACCGGCGCTGGTGTGTTTTGTTGGCAGGATGCTGACACAGCTCAGTGAGTGGTTCTGGCAGGAGCAGCTGTGGTTCCCTGAGGGTCTGGGCTGGGCCGACCTGGAGGACCGGGATGGACGGGTGTACGCCAAAGCCAGCGATTTGTGGGTGGCGTTACCGATTGCCATCTTGTTCCTCATCATCCGTCAGATCTTCGAGAGGTCAGTGATGTTTTTACGTTCACCCTGTGGACGGCCCGGAGTGTCTACAGACACAACACAGCTCATACTGTATCTACTGACATGTCTGTGGTGAAGAGCTGCATGAGAACAACCCCTCCATCATCACCCCCCCCTGTTTTCCTTTCTTTTCATCCCTCTCTCCCCCAGTCTGCTGCTCAAACCAGCAGTGACAGAATTGAACCATTGAACCCTTCAGTTCTGGCAGTTTGAGATCGTTGTTTGCCGTAGCGACGGCGCTAATGTCAACAACAGCTGTGCAGCAGCTCAACAGTCATTATTAAGTTGGTCACATAACGATTAAAAACACTTTCATTTCCTCTTTGTTTTATTTTTTTTCTTCAGCAAACTTTTCTGAACAGAGTACAGATACCGCGTTTCCCGTAAGCAGTAACAATCTCATGGAATAAAGATCATCACAAGCTCAGAGTTTTTTAACTGCTAACTGTTTCTTGTAAATTGATGAAGTCGGCAAACTGGAAAATTCAGTCCCACAATCAGCTGCACTTCTGTGAACATCAGTCTGTCTGAACGATTCATGTCATTAATTATCATTACTGTTGATATTAATATTACCGCTACTGCTAGTACTACTACCGCTACTGCTAGTACTACTGCTGCTGCTGATACTAGTACTCATGGGTCTCTGAGCATCACAATCATAAACTGGAAATATTCAAAGCAGTGAGAGACAAAACACTAAATGACAGTACTGTTCCCTATAGGTGTATGTATGTAATGTATATATATGTGTGTGTATGTATACATATATATATAAACATATGTGTGTGGTTATATATTGTGTATACTGTATATGTATAAATATGTTTATATATTGTGTATATATGCATATATACATATATATGCATGTGCAAATATATATACAGTATATTTTTTAAATCTGGTTTAGTGTATTCGTAAATATAATGTATTTGTTTCCCCATATATTTTACATATTCTTCACTGGTAAATTCTGTCACTATATATGTATATATGAAACGGCATAAATATATATATATATATATTTATATATGTTGTTAGTGTATATTTACAGTATAAATATATAGAGTTATATTGTTATATAATGTTTCTCTTATATATATGTAAATATGTGTCTGTGTATATATATATATAATAATTTACATTTTGTATGTTTAGCTAAAGCAGTAACGTTTCTCCAGATGGTTTTGTTCCTACTTGTTTCCAGGTTGATTTATTGGTCCAGTCGTGTCTGACCGTGGTTTGTTTTCACCCGCAGGACGGTGGCTACACCTCTGGCCTCACTACTGGGGGTGAAGGAGACGGTACGACTCAAAGCCCCTCACAACCCAACACTGGAGTCCTACTACTGTAAAACCACCAAGAACCCCACACAGGTGTGTGTGTGTGTTCAAATCAGCCCCCGTCACGTGTTCAAAAAAACTTCAAACCTGAACCTGTTTCTTCTTCTTTTTTTGTACCTCAGACTTCCATACTGAGTCTCAGCAAGCAGACGGGCTGCTCTGAGCGACAGGTGCAGCGCTGGTTCAGACGACGGAGGAACCAGGACAGACCAAGTTTGCTCAAAAAATTTCGAGAAGCCAGGTAAACAGAGTCCCTGTGTCTTTGTGGAGTGGTGCGGAGGTTTCCCCTCAGTATGAGGACGTGTCTGACAGCAGACCAGGTCCTCTATGTTATATTTATATCATGGACTCATTAGGAGGCCGCTCTGCTGCTGCTGCTGCGTCTGTAGTCTCTGCTCCATTATACATGGACCAGCAGAGACAAAACCACAACCTCAGGACAGGTGGGGTGTGTAATCATCATCACAGTCTTGGTCCAATCAGGACAGTCCACCATGGTCAACTGTGGTGTCAGGCCCCGCCGTGTCAGAAGGCCCCGCCCTAGAGGACGAGAGAATTCTAATTGGCTGTGGTTTAGAAGTAGTATTTCAAATCCATTCGTTGAACTGACGCTGAACTGTGGGAAATTTGTTTCCATGAAATGAGTTCAGACCAACACTGTCAACACTGATTCAGGAACAGTTCAAACTGCAACGGACGTTAAATGTTCTGACATGGAAGTAGAACCCCCCACCCCACCACCCCCGAAAAAAAAAAAACATATACATGTATGTATGTGTGTATATATTTGTTTATGTTGGTATATGTATGTGTATATATTTATAATTGCGTGCGTACATACTTGTGTATGTGTATATGTATATGCATGTATTCTGTACAGTGTATGTGCATATACTATATATATGTGTATTTGTGTGTGTGTATACATGTGTATAGGTATATGTATATGTTTGTGTATATATATTTCTTTGTATATATAGATACTGTATATAAATATTTGTGTACACATATATATACAGTGTATATGTGTATATGTACTGTATATGTGCATATACTATATATTTATACACTATATATACATATATACTGTATATAAATACAATATATATATATACATACAGTGTGTATATATAGAACGTTTGTACGTATATATATATTACGATATATATATATACACGTACAACCATATGTACTGAGATCAACAGTATGATCCAACTCTACAGTATAACACACGAGGCTGAGTGTATGCAGGGCAGTGTTCATGTCTCTTCCTCTCTGGTCATCGTGTCCATGACGAGACATTTCTCCTCTGAATCAGTCTATTGTTTGTCTCCCCGCCCGTGTCTTTTCTTTCATGGGTTTTTTTTTCTTGTACATTCTGACTGTTTTTTTCTTTTCTTTTTTTTTCTTCTTCCCTGTTTCTTTTCCTGCTGCCTGTACGTCTAATTTTAGACGAAAGAGCGGAAAATACACGTGACTGTTGTTGTATCAGGTGAAAGTGAGAAAGCAGTGAGAGTGTTGTCTCTCTCTCTCCCTCTCTCTCTCTCTCTCCCTCTCTCTCCCCCTCTCTGTGTGTGTCCTAGTTTGACATTCCCAGCGTAGTCCACCACCCTGGTCTTCATCTGTCCACTCAGCCTCTGTCTCTGTCTGTCCAGTGTCCATTCTTCTGTGTGACTCATTAATCTGGTTGAACTGATGTGTGTGTTTTGTTTTTCCCTCCTGGACTGAATACACAGTGTGTTTCTGTATATGTGTATGTTCTCTTGCAGTTGGAGATTTACCTTTTACCTTCTTGCTTTCATTGCTGGCCTGGCCGCCCTCATTGATGTGAGTACCAGAGCTGGAACATTGTCTTCACCTCCTCCTCCTCCTCCTCCTCTTCCTCTTCCTCCTTCTCATGTCATGCCTTCATATTTGTGTGACTGTCTGTGGCCTCTCATGAACTGGCACAGTGTCCATGAGAATGTGCCGTCTGCTGCGTGAACCTCACCTTCCACACTGTCAGCAGTGACTCACTGTCATGCTGAGCCGGCTAATGCTCTTTAAATACACACATTGTTGTTCCGTATCGCTCTCAGCCTCACTCCCCCTCTGTGCTTTCAGAAACCCTGGCTGTACGACCTGAAGGAGATGTGGCAGGGCTTCCCTGTGCTGGTACGTCTCCGAGATGAACGTGTTACACACTATCAGTGCATCAGAACCGATTCAGGTCCCTGCTGACGCAGCACAAATGAAGCTGTAACTTACATGGTCCAGCAGTTCCATCTGATATCTATTCACATATATAATGATTAAATACAAATACATACACGTACATATATATATATATGAATGTGTCCTCGACATCTGTGTTGTTGAGTTCCGTTCCCACGGTGGGACATAACTCAGTAATTGCTATAAGTCATAACTCACATACTGCACATAAGGATCCGTGTCGCTCACCGACGCTAACACAGTGGTAACATCATAATCTGGGACATAAACACAACAGACAAGTCTGACATACACCTGCGAGTCACAATGAAAGCCAAAAACACAAGACAATACACATATATATATATATCAACACACATTGATACATATACATGTATTAGTGCATATATATTTATATAAATATATGTACTGTATTTTTTAACTATATTTCGCATTTTTTTCATCCTTTGGCTAGGTATGCGACATATATTAAAATATAAGTTTTATTATTTTTTTACTCTGCAGCCGCTAGAGGGCACTCTAGGCTTTTGTACCAGTGTCTGCTACTCCTGTACCACTGAAAATTTACATGTTCGATATTTTTACACTGACAGCCACTAGAGGGCACTGGTGCTACTCATACTCCGGAGCGACTTATAGTCATGATACATACAGTATATTTCACCTGATATGTGAAAGATTGACAATAGCAGAAGTATGGGACCGTATTTGTGTTGTGGCCCACGAAGAATAACTAATAATAAAGCTGCGTCATGTTCATGGTTATTGTTATTCGTATGACTCACATATATCACTGTGTATATTTTTCTTCCTCTCTGCAGACTCTGCTGCCGTCACAGTACTGGTACTACATGATAGAGCTGGGGTTCTACAGCTCTCTGCTCTTCAGCGTGGCCTCGGACGTGAAGCGTAAAGTGAGTCAACCTCCACACTGTGATGATGTCACACTCACCTTTGACACCTGCGTCTGCTGTTCACTCAGGTCATTTGACATTTGGCAGCGGCCGCGGTTGAACATTAGACCTGTGTTACACATGGTTTAGATGTGTGTGAACATTTGGACTTTACTCCGGCACAGCCAACTGAGCGCCGCCAGGACGTTGTCGCCAAAACAACACTAGCTGATCCTGGAGCAACACAACACAATACATTAACACAGTCACCAAATAAATCACTTCTGCTCCGACAAATGTATTAGATTCTAATTTTAGCCTCATTACAAATGACTCACGTAGGTATCTTCGTTAAGCCTGTTAAAATTAATGATTTTGTGTCCTCAAATTTGAATAAAATATCAATATTTGGCACCAAACACAACAGCCTATGAAAATCTTAGCTACAAAAAAAATTGAGAGAAAATTCACACTGAATATGAAGCAACAGAGACATTTTTACAGAGAAGAAGTGACGGTCGATCAAAGGTCAAGAGATTTAAACCGCACCGTGTTTTGTACAAGAGATTAGTCAATAAATACCATCATTAATGGGAGAAGTTGAAGAGCCTGACGGCCTGGTGGTGGAAGCTCTTAGTCAGCCTGTTTTTTTTTCTTTTCTGGACTCCACACTCATCAGGTGTGATGTGGGAAATTGTCCAATTTCAATGAATTGATCTGAAAACTATTACTTATTTATCGCATTTAATTTGTTTTCATTTGTCCTCGGGGCAGTGACAAGCAGAGCAGTTATATACTCCTTCACTAGGTGGCAGCAGTTAAAACTTAAAAGAAGAGAGAGACTCAGAGCTGTTGAAGAAGCCTTTTCCTGTGTCTTTTTTCAATTCCTGTGAGCATAACAGCTTTGTGTGCAACTAAACGGGCCCAGATTTTTCAAAGATAAAATATGTGCCACAGCTCAAAAAAAATTTTGGAAACACTGACTGGAGTGCTATCTGCTGGAGGGGGCGATGTTGTAACCTTTAAAGACATTTTTATTAGGGCGACAGGGGGCGCCAAAGCCATAATCTTACCAAGGAAAATCCCCTGACACATGTAAGCAGCGTCACGCTCTGGGCTCTGACCAATAACCATGTCTGTCTCCACCATGTTCTGTTGTCAAGGACTTCAAGGAGCAGATCGTCCACCACGTGGCCACCATCCTCCTCATCAGCTTCTCCTGGTGTGTGAACTACATCCGTGCTGGAACTCTCATCATGCTCGTGCACGACTCCTCCGATTACTTTCTGGAGGTAAGTCCTGGTTCAAGTGTGACGTTTTATAACCAAGAACCTCCAACATTAGGCAGACGGCCGTGTTACACAACCAGAAACATCAGGATCATCGAGGGGAAGGGGTTGTTGTTACAGCTGCTCCAGCGTTTTAAGATAAACAACATGTATATTCTGTGATAAATATGTAAAAAGTAAATAAATAAAACAACCATATATAAATATATAAATATATATAATGTTTATTTATGTTTAATAAAATCCTCCATGGAGTGAAATACCTGCATCAGGCTGAAATACTGCACATATTTGAGTATTATATACCAGAACATGACACAGCAAATCAGGGATTGTAAAAATATTGACTGAATATTACACAGATTGAGCAGATTACACAGATTAAATGGGATTATTGCACTGCCAGGGTCATTTATCCTCAAATGTATTTGAGCATAATGAATTATTAATGAAACATAATACTGTTTAGATACTGTATTGGTGTTTGGTGCTTTACTTCAGTACTTCAGTCAGGCGTATAATTTAGGGTGGCAGTGCACTGCCATCTAGTGGTGGAAACAACAAATAGGTTGCCTTGGTTTAATGGAGAACGAACGAGCCACTGAATTATTATCCGTTACTGGAACAGACTCGTTCTTATAACCACGTTGTTCTTCTGACCTACAGTCTGCAAAGATGTTCAACTATGCTGGGTGGCGTAACGCCTGTAACTACATCTTCATCGTATTTGCTGCAGTCTTCATCGTCACTCGTCTCTTCATCTTTCCATTCCGGTATAGACATATCACTTTTGATTTAAATTAAATTAAATCTGATTTTTTTTTTTTTTTTTTTGGACAGGCGTCCTAATCAGTACTGTTCCTCTGTTGCAGTATCATCTACTGCACCTGGGTGTATCCAGTCACCGTCTACAGGCCCTTTTTTGGCTACTACTTCTTCAACGGACTCCTGATGACGCTGCAGTGTCTGCACATCTTCTGGGCGGTCCTCATCCTGCGTATAGCAATCCGCTTCCTCACCAACAATGTAGGCAAACGTACAATTATCATTGGTTGTTGACATTGTGATGTTTCAAACATTGACATTGACATTGTGATGCTGCATTCAAAGATGTGGAAAAAAACACAATAATAATTGAAACAAGGAAAATAAAAACACATCAGTTAAAAAGAAAGAAAAACACAATCAATTTACAGGCAGCGTGTGAACAACAGTGTCGTCGGATCCTCCCACAGAACAGGTTCTGTGACGCTGGTCGGCCTACTTTTAGCTTTCTGCAGTGATTGTTGTCCTGCTGCTACAGTCAAAGACAAACTCTCCTGTGAGATTTAACGGTCCTTCAAACTCACTCTCCTCTTCTTCTCTGCAGGAAAAGGTGGACGACGAGAGGAGCGACAAGGATGAAACGGATGAATCAGAAGACGAGGAGGAGGAAGAGAAGAAGAAGATGGACGGTAAAGTGGTGAAAAATGGACCGTTGCTGAACGGTTACGCGGTCCACAACAACAACCACAGGAAGACAGAATGAACACGTCCGTAACGAAGGACAGTGACAAGGACTCCCAACAGTATCCTGCTGTTTGGGGAGCGGAGGGGACAGACGGGTGATCGGGAGGTACGGAGGGGGAAAGTCATTCCCAACAACAACAAAAAATCACAACACCAGGTATCCTGAGAAAACTAGACACTAACATCTTTGCAGGACACAAACACCACACTAACAGCCGTCAGTCGGAGCTTTCAGACGTGGAGAGAGCGTCCAGATCCAGTGAATGTGTTATAAAAAACACCAGGAGGGTTTGTTTTTTTTCTGTGCTTTTTGTCCTTAGAAAATAACCTAATCATGACTGTGCAGGATATCAGCTCCATAAGGGAGAAAACGGAGAGGACCAAAGTGTGGAGAGAACACGTGTGGAGGTGATGCTGCTTCTACTTTAGCTTTCTTGTTCTAACTGTGCCTTAGATCCAGCTAATTGATGTCCAAAAAAAATCATTTTTGTAGCTTTTACGCTTTAAAAATCGTGTCGCTTTATTTCTTTGTTTTTTTCCGTTTTGTTTTATAAAAAAAACAAACAAACCGTGAAAGTGAGAATTTGTGAACGTGAAAACACCAGGGCATTCGTCGTCCTGCTGTTGTCTATGCAAGAATGCGTATGTTCAGCTGTTGCAGTGTCTTTGCACAAACATACAGTGTCTCTTAAACCGTGTCATGTACAGTGTAATATATATTAATATACAGGAGGCTGTAGTATTTGCCATTTTCAAGGCGATCTGCCTTTTAAGGTATAAAATATCCATGTGTTTTTAGTATTTTAAATTCACAGCTACAAAGAAAAAAAAATTACTTTCTGTTTTGATTGTAGTTTTTGGATCCTTCAAGCTTTAAAAGTGATGTAAGACTCGGTGAGGTTGTCAATCTTAACTGGTTTCGCTGCCACTTCGACTCAGACTCGGGTGCTCGGCACATTGGCACTGCGACGATAAGCTCAGCGTCCGTATGGTTTTTAATGAAGTTGAATGGACTATCCCTCACTGCTGCGGATGAATCAGGTTGTGGCTCAACGTGATGAAAGCACCAGTGAGAAGTCGGTCCATCGAATATTTGCCAAGAAGAATTTCTCTGTTAAATAAAGGAGCTTTATTCAAGTGAAATAGCCAGCACCGGTTGTTCCAGCTCCACATTTCTTTTTCTGTTTTTTTTTTTTTTTTAATTTTTTCAATTCACTGCCTAACAGCCTGGGTTTTCTGATTTAACCCCAGCAGATGTTCTACTCTTGTTCCAAGTGGATTAATTTAAGTATGATTATCTTTATAAAACGGGTTTACAGGTGTTTCCTTTTTTTTCTGTTTTGTGGTAGAATTTTAAATTTGGGTTGCCTTTCTCTCTTGTTTTTAATCTGAGATTATTGTGAGGTATTAACACAAAGTCAGTGTTGGATATATTGTGATGCTTTAAATTGTTGTATGTCAAGTGCCTTATCTGTAACATGTGGGATTCTCTCTTCCTTTTCTGTGTCTTTGCCTTCTCTCCTTCTTCTTCTTCTTCTTTTTTTCCTGCCTCCTCTTTGTTCTGCTAGATTCAAACCTAAGAAGAGCGCTTCCATCTTCACCGTCGCCTCACTAACACCGCTCCTTTCTCCGGCTTTTACTCTCCTTTTTCAAAGTCACCGTCATTCCACTAAACACGTTCTTTTACTCGCCCAGACCAACCAGCAACCTCTCCTCTACGGTGACACGGAAGAAACAGTGGTGCCCTAATTACAGTGTTATTTTGTATTGTTTTTTTTTTTGTTTGTTTTGTTTGTTTTTTTGTTTAATGATGCCTAAGTATTGTTATTAATAATTAAATCAAAGATCTTGAATCACAATGACAACATGTAAAGAGTGTGTGTTTGTTTGACCATTTACTTTAATTTACTTTCTACATTTTAACAAATGTCCTGGAAAAGTAATTCTAGTAGTAAATCTGTTTTAAGACAGTAATCTAAAGCAAAGATTTTCCAGGTTTATAATAAAGTAACTACGTGTATTTGATACGTTTAACACACGCAAAATGCCTTTTACATTGGTAAATGCCTGAGTTGGAGCTATTAATCATGCTTTGTGAATTAATATTGGTTATTTCATGATTTTTTTTAATGTTTATTTGCTTCTTACGGGGCCCATGAAGGGACACGGTGGTGAATAAACGTTTCAAATAATGTTTCATAAAGGAGACATGACGAACGTGAAAATACCTAATTAAACCATTACATTTTCTATAACCAATCCTGAAATCCACAACCCCCGGAATTCATTATTTCCAAGTGAACTTAAAGAAAAAAAATTGAGCCAAAAGTCGCTCATAATACCCTTGAGCCTGTGGTGACAGCTGCTGCTGCCGTTGGTGGGGCGGAGTGATACATAGATTGGGCGGAGCCCCGCATGGATTGCCCTACACGTCGCGTCACTTCGCATCCGGCTGATGTGACGCCCAATAGAGAGCGCAGGAAAGAAAACACAAAAAAAAAATGCTTTGAGCCGCCAGCCGTGTACGCCATCTTAAACATAAGCGGGGCTTTAAATCAGGACAAAACAAGGAAACGGTCACTGAATGAGAGAAGGCGACACCGCGTCTGGAGTGTCCTGGAGGTTTAGTCTTCTTTTTTTTGAGGGAACCAGGGCGTGGCTTCCGCCTTATTGTCAAACTCTGTAAAGTCGTGAGGAAATCAGCGGGCCACTGGTTAGCCTGTAGCTAGCTAGCGAGGGGGAGGGGCCGGGGGGCTTGACGATTTTTTTTTTTTCATAGCAGCCGAAGTTGTTTGTTTATATTATTTCAGTTGGATATGTCCTCGGTGAACGCAGGTGAGTGCCGGAAAAGTTGCAAAGATATTAGTTCGCTTAAAAAGCACGCGGATGACAGTTGGTTTTTGTGTGTTTTGTGTCGCCAGGATTAGAAACGGACACTTTCTAAAGATAGCGTGACAACAGGAGCTAACTTAGCTTAGCAGCAGAGCCAGTGCCACTGGCGGACAGTTATTGCACAAGTGTTAGCCCTCTGACATGCTAGCCTGCTAACTGCGTTTGGATCACTTCATGTAGATCCTCTCATTTATACAAGACAGAAACTCAGACAGATATAAAATAGAAAAATGGTGCATATGAAGTGGCAGCTTGAACGCTAGGCTTTTGCGTTTTTATTAGGAATATATATAGGAAGTGACATGTTGTATGTCTGTCATTGTGTCAGCTAGGGTTTCACCTTTAATTTGTTAAAACGTCATTAAACGTACGGCAGGATAACACATTATACACGGCGAGAAAGTGATGTCACCTCAGACCTGTGTACAGTTCATACAGCCATATATTTCAATGTTGACCAGAGACACCAATGCTATTCAATTCTGCACTTTTTATACGTAAATAATGAAATATTCTTCTCACGGAATCAATTTTTCAGATGTTGAAGCTGGTACATTGATTGTTTCATTTTCAAATGAAACTGGAAAAATTAAAATATGATTTATTTAACCAGTAGACAATCTAGCAAACAAATATTTCTTTACGAATATTTTATATCTGATTCCAATACCTGTATGACGTGTTTTATCAGATAGGGCTGGAATAATGTGTGTGGTATAAATTGTGACTTTTTGTTATCTTCTTTCCAAGTTCGCTTTCATTGTCAATAGAATTTTTTTTAAATACCCATCTTAGGCTCTGACATAACTATCCATAAACCTTTAAAACAGTTTACGTAGACACGTGCTTTTGTTCGATGCGATGTTGAAATATTAAAATCTTTGTCTTCTGCCTGTCAGCCGACTTGAATTTGTTGTGAACTTTAGGGAGCAACCAGTTCCTATCGTAACATCATTCAGATAATTTTTTGTTCTTTCTTTTTACAGATATGCTGATTGTAATACTGTAGTGTAACTTGATGCATTGCAAATACTTATAAATCTAATTTCTCACATTATCTGGAGACTGTTCATATGGTTATGTTTAATCCAAAAGCTAACTTTTACACACTGTCTTGTGAGTTGTTTCCCTTTTTTTTAGATCTGTGGTACGAATGCATAGTCATTGTGTTTAGTTTCATTTACAGTCTTGTGACACAATAGAAATTAACCTCTGTGTCTCTTTGCCTGTGTTATTAATAGAGTTACTGGACCCAAATCCGGGTATGGGACCAAGTGGGTCCCAAGCAGGTGGTGGAGCTGTTGTGCCGAAAGGGAACAATAAGAGACGAGCTCCGTGAGTGTGTGATGCAGCGGTAGATTTTGTATCAACATTGAGGATATGCCTGTGAAGATGCTCACTTTTGTCTCTTGTTGCCTCCCTGTAGCCCAGACTTTGACGATGATGACGGAAACGGAAAGTTGTTCAGGTACGTTTGTCCTCAGCATGTCTTAGTAAAGCAAAGATGAGTGTTATCATCAGGTGAGATAACAGACACTGTTTCCTCAGGTGTGATGACGAAACAGGTGGCTCCAACGACAAAGAGCGATTTGCCAGGTAGGAAACCTCATTAGGATCAGAACAAGTGCTATATGTATTTTTATACCTGTGTGTGTGGGGCGGGGGGTTCTAAGGAGTTAGGAGCTAGGGGGGGAGTGTAGTTCTCTCGTTGTTGCTCTCCCGCTCTTTTTCTTTTTTAATTTTGGTCTTTATTGTTGGGTCATTGTTTAGTGGGTTGGTTTCATTTCCAGGTTTTTGGAAGAAGATCAGAGTTATGCAGATAAGGAAAAGCTAGCCAGGTATGGCCTGTTCACCTCTGGAAGGCTCCCTGTCCTGCTCGTGTTCACGGCAGCATTGAATGCTCTGATCCAATACAATCTCTGCTATTCTGCCGGGAAATTGGCACAATGTCGTACTGACAGCATAAAAAAATCTTTTTTTTAAAATTTGCAGCTGTCTGTGTCTGTTTTAGTGCCTGTTATGATGTTGTGCTTGTACTCTATAGGCAACCGGTTTTCTGTTTCCCTCCACCTCCGTGATACGTGTCACTAACTGCTGTGCTGTATGTGAGTCAGGGCCTTCTTTCACTTTGGTAATCTTTTCCCCCCTGTCCTGTCTTTTTGTCCCCGTCTCAGAATATCTAGAGGGTCTTCCTCTCTCTGCACTTGCTCTCTCTGTCACACTGACTGGCCTCGAACCACCAGACTCTCGCTGTCTCACTGTCAGTTTGATAAATCACCTCCTACACCTATTTTTATTTTGAGGGTCCATTGTTGCTCTCACCTCCTCTCATCTCCATCTCGTCTTTTTGGTTGACACACATACACACATTGCCGATATTAACGCTGAACTCTACTCCATGTCATTCGCCCCATCCTCTCTACCTCTGCCTCCCTCCCTCCTTTGTTTCCTCTCTCCAGAGAGAACCACAGCGAGATTGAGAGACGGAGGCGGAACAAGATGACGGCCTACATCACAGAGCTGTCAGACATGGTGCCCACATGCAGCGCTCTAGCACGAAAACCAGACAAACTAACCATCCTGCGAATGGCAGTTTCCCATATGAAGTCACTGAGAGGAAGTGGCAACACCAGCGCGGATGGCTCGTACAAACCGTCCTTCCTCACCGACCAGGTATCAACACCTCAGAGGGCAACGTGACGTCATCTGTGAGCTGCGATCACAACTTGGCCTCTCGTGTTCTGTCCGTCCCACAGGAGCTGAAGCACCTCGTCCTGGAGGCAGCCGATGGCTTCCTGTTTGTGGTGTCATGTGAGACCGGTCGCGTTGTTTTTGTCTCTGATTCAGTCACGCCCGTCCTCAACCAAGCACAGTCCGATTGGCTCGGCTCTTCACTTTACGATCAGCTCCACCCAGACGACACAGAGAAGCTCAGGGAGCAGCTCTCCACAGCAGAGAATAACAACACAGGTGCAACACACACACACACGGAACAACGTCAAAAACGTTGTTGCCACATCAACTCCCAGCACTGATGTAACTCCCCTTCTAACTTCTCTCACAGGGAGGATGTTAGACTTGAAGACAGGAACAGTGAAGAAGGAAAACCAGCAGTCTACAGCCAGGATGACCATGGGGGCACGACGGTCGTTCATTTGCAGAATGAGGTGGGATTCCTTCAGGAGTTGAACCAGCAGCTCCCTGTTTATAAATAATACATGTCAGGAGGCACACGTCGCCTGAATGATGTCTTCTTTTTTTCTTTTGTTTTTTGTCCTAAAAGGTGCGGCACTTCAGTTGAACCAATGGCCTCAAACAGACTGAACTTCCTTAGAAACAGAAACAGGTAACTACCGCTCTATAACTCTATAATTACAGACAAATAATGACTGAGTGGGACGTTTGTTGGAGTTCATTGCATTTTTACGATTTCTGACTTTGTCGCAGGAATGGCTTGGGAGTGGCTAAAGAAGGGGAGCCCCAGTATGTAGTGGTCCACTGTACAGGATACATCAAGTCGTGGCCCCCTGCAGGTAAAAACTGGTCTTTTTCTTTTTTAAATTTGCATTTTACCTCTTCAAGTTGTTCTGTACTTAAAAGCCACACAGGGGCTTTTAAAGTTAAACATTGTGGCCGTTCATCCAGGGAGCAGAAAACACACCCACAATTACAGAGAGTGCTCCAGTAGGGTCATTCATCCTTGTATTCTTGTCCGCTAGTTTAGTTTTAGTTAGTTGTCGTTGTTTGGTGGACTCTGCTGCCCCCTAGGGCAAACTACACATATTAAAACGCACTGATCTAATGCCTTGATTTCTGTGTTTTGTTTCAGGACTATCACTAACAGAGAATGAAGTGGACAACACTCAGGGTAGTCGCTACTGTTTAGTTGCCATTGGAAGATTACAGGTAATGTTATGGTGATGTTATGGTGATATTCATGTCAAGTCACATGTTGTTTTATAAATAAAGGATTCTTTAACATTTTAATGTTTACTTTCAAACAGACTAAATCAAGAACAGTGTGATTGTTTTATCATTTCTTTACCTAATGTCATTTAACTTTCTAACAAGCAAATTTGCTAATGTTAAAAATTAGACTTTTTTTTTTTTCTCCAGGTGAGCTTTTGCCCAGGTGACCTGGATATGAACAGCGTCAGCGTTCCAGTAGAGTTCATCTCGCGCCATAATACTCTCGGCGTGTTCACCTTTGTAGACCACCGATGCATGGCCACGGTGGGCTACCTGCCACAGGTAACGAGCATGCTGCTGAATGAGAAGGACTGGTCCAGAAATATTCCAGTGTCTAATGGTGTTTCTGTTCAGGATTTACTTGGAAAGAATGTTCTGGAGTATTCTCACCCAGAAGACCAAGGCTTACTTAGAGACAGCTTCCAACAGGTACAAGAATTTAAAGAAACACAGAAACAGGACAGAGAAGAATTAGTGAGAGAGAGCTTTTGGTTTTATTTGTAAAAAAAAAAAAAAAAGATTTCTGTTTGTTAAAGCAAGAACTACATCTAAAACTTCTGCTGGGCGTCTCTGAATCTAAAGCTTTATTTTGAGCCACTGTTTAAAACACAATTATACCATTAGCCTTAGTAGTGCAGTGTTAAGTATAGAGCTGTTCTCTACAGCAGTATATTTAAATGTGTTTTCATCCTGGTTAAAATACACTCTGGTTCTCGCAGTATTCAAATATCTTGTCTATAGACTTGACTCTGTCTTTACTTGTCCTTATTTCAACATAACAGGAGTATTTGACTTGTCCTCAGGTGGTGAAGCTGAAAGGTCAGGTTTTGTCCGTCATGTTTCGGTTCCGGGCCAAATCAAGAGAGTGGATCTGGATCAGGACCAGCTCCTTCACCTTCCAGAACCCGTACTCCGAGGAGATAGAGTACATTATCTGCACCAACGTCAACGTCAAGTGAGTTGCACTTCTGTTGTTGCCACAGTTTGTTTCATTCCATTACGTGTGATTATAAAACGTCATGTCGTTGTTCAGTTCATGATCATTTTGTCTGAAAAACCCACCTGTCCTCCTGCACACCCATCTCCACGAACGTTACCAAACCCACTCACAGACTGATCACACTGTCTTCCTACACCTCTCCCATCTGCACCCATCTCTAATTGGGGGGCATTAGAAACTCCGCTCAGGATACCCTTACTCCCATCTCCTCCCCAGGGGGCTTGTTGCCCCCGTCCTTGGGCCAGAACAGCCCGAGCAGCCCTCCTGTAGTGCTCAGCCCAGGGCAGGTAGCCATCAGGTGAGACAAGGCCTGGTCTAAGTATTGTTCCCCTGCATGGGACAACGGGGGCTGCTTCTCTATGGGAGACCACTGCTCTTTTAGACATTTGTTGTTGTTTTTTTGTTGTTTTTTTTCTTCTTCTGTAGCATTAAAAACACCTGGTCTAATAAAAAAGCATGTTCTGTTGTACTGTTGATGTACAGTTGGTTGTAAGCAGGTCAGGTTTAACAGGTGGTGGAGCATGTTAGTATGGACACAACGTCTGTCTCAGCACTTCTCTCCTCCTTTCTCCTTTTTTTTTTTTTTTTTTTTGTTGCCATGGTGGTGGGTTGAGTGCTTTTCACCAGCAGGTGGTTGGGATTTCTCCCTCAACTGTTAGAAGGCCAAGGATAACGGGCTATTTTAAATAATCTCACACCCACAATCCCAACCCCCCTCTGCATATTTACAGGCAGTTCCAGCAGCAGCAACAGGCCGAGCTGGAGGGAGGTGGCGCCAGAGACCGACTGTATGAATCAGGACCGATCACCCTCCCCCAGGTTAGCCCTTATGTGTATGTATATGTGTGTATATATGTGTATATATGTATGTATATGTGTATATATGTATCTATATATGTATGTATATGTATGTATATATGTGTATATGTATATATATGTATGTATGTGTATATATATGTATGTATGTATATATATAGATATGTATGTATATGTTTTGTTTTTTTTGACGATGGTAAGAAGAGTGTCTACTCCTGTACATCCCAGAACTAATTATTATTATTAGATTGTTCGGGAAGTCGGTGTCAAACAAGTAGCTCTTCGTATTACTAACTGTGGTCTATGAAGTAGCTCTCAGTTTCAGAGTGGTTGGTGACCCGTGGTTTAGTGTGACACCTCTTAGGTTGACCTGTAACCACCGCAGTGATGATCCACAGCGGCATGTTAGGAACAACGGCGTGTCCAGCTTTGTCAAAGTACGGCATGTGCGAGAACGCGGACAGAAGTGAATGGATGCAAAACTGTAGCCTGTTTACGACAGACGGAACGTCAACACAGCCTCGGCTGCATGAATATGCTAATGAGACCGCAGAAGGTTTCCAACACACTCGTACTTGGGTACCAAACAGATGCATTGGCAGAGGGAGGCTCATTGGCTGGACGGTGAAACAGAAGGCGACGTGAATGTGGGAGAGTCACGAGTCACAAACCACTAATGTCTTTGTTTCACGTGGAACTAACTAAACAAACGTTTGACCCGGTCTGACCTGAATGGAGCTGCGTTATAATTAGTGCAAAACCTTCGACAACTACTGTCTAAACTGGTTATTAAACTGCTTTTTTTATTACACTATTATACTGAGTTTAATACCCCTCCCCCCAGAGGGCAGCAGGTTTCTATTTAATCTAATGTAGTTTTTTAAATAATACAATAGTTTTGTATTATTTATACAAGGACCAGCCCTGGTATGAATGTGACTGAACATAATTTTGTGCTGCTCCTCAGATACCAAACCAGCCGGTGCAGCCCATCACAGCTGCAGGTCCAGACCACAGTAAGACCATGGAGAAGCAAGAACTCTACTCTTCTATCTTCCAAGGCCCAGATCAGACCAAGGTCATGGCCACCACCTCTACACCCTCACCACAGGTTTATCCTCAGGCCAGCAACTTCCCTGCAGCCAGAGCCGGTGATGCCTACAGGTATGAAGTCGTTAGATTTTTATTTTGTTTTTGTTTTCAGAGAACTGTATAACTGGCACAGGTGAGTCCCTGTTCAGTTCACGTAGCCAATGTGTCAAGGTTAGACACATTATTGATTCGCGAGGGACTGAAATTTTTGAAAATCTCCCTAACACTTTTCTAGTTGGAGATGTGTCCATTTTTATGAACCATGAAACTATAAACATCTGTGCTGAAAAAATACTGAGAAAATTAAAGCAAACTCTCAGTAAAAAACAACGTCCAAATCTGAAAAATATCAGACCTGGAGCAGTTTGAGAGAATCGCCAAAAACGTAAGATGGAATATTCTGGAGACATTTCTGACTTTGACTTTGTGGAAACAAGGCAGAGGAACGGGGTGGGGAGGATGTAAATGAGGTCGACTTCTATTTCCTTATTTAAACATTTGTCTTCTTCTGTTGATCGTGTCAGACAAACACGACCTTCGTTTACTCTCCCTTAGACAGTGAACGTCAGTCACCAGATACATTATCATCTCATGACAGACGGACAACACGATACAACACGGAACCACGTGTCAGTACGTGTCGGATCCATGATCTGTGGATCTGACTTAATGAGGTTGTGTTGTAAGACAGTGGAGTTGACGGTGACTGTTAATGATCTGAAGGCTCACAGTGACCCCTGGAGGTTCTCTCACTTCACTCTCACCTACTGTACCTCAGCAGACTTTGACTTTTGAACAGTCCATTGTAAATGAGATTCTCCTTCCTTCAGAAACCACGTGCAGTGTGATCCAGTTATCATCCATGCTCCGTTTGTTTCAGCCAGGTCCCCACAGTCAATCCTGTGTCACTCATTTTCATTCTCTTGACTTTTTTTTTTTTTTCTCCCCCGCAGCAGGCCGGTCGGCATGACTCCACAGATGGCACAGCCAGCTCAGTCAGCAGGACAGATGTTGGCGCCGATGTCTCGGCAGAATGGACCCCCACAGCCAGTTACTCCCTCCAGCACTGGCGGCCCCCTCCACGGAGGACCAGCAGGAGGATGGCCAGGAAGTGCAGCAGGAAGCAGACTCCAGTTTAACAACCAGGTGACCTACACTGTAATGACAGAAAGTGCTGCTGTTAAGATGAAATGTCAGGTCAATGCAGCGGACGTTTTTTTTTTTTTTTTTTGCAAGTCAGAATCAGCTTCATCGGCCAAATATCAACTTTAAACTGAGGGAGGAAGATGTGTTCGCATTTTTGTTAATTTGTGCAGGTTTGACTTTTTTGTTTTTGTTTTGGAGGAGGTGATGTTAGTAGAAGGACCTGAACAGACGACCCCTGCTTTACCTTCATGTATGTGTATGTTTCACATATTTATTCTTAAAACTAATTTTCTAAAGCAGAAGGTCTTCAAAAATATTTATCTTTCCTGCTGGAGTTGGCGTTTACCTTCAGCTGCTCCCTTCAGGGGAGATCACTGCCTCCTCTACTGTTACACTGACAAACTCCATGTCCTATGAACTTTTCATTTTTTGCATTTCTAAAATATTAAGGTCTTTGTTTGTTTTTTTTTTTGTTTAGGAAGCTTTTATTTTTTTAAGGCTCTTTATTTGACTGCTTTCTTCAATTCCACCCAGCAGGTGGCTCCACAGGCAGCTAAGACTATGTCCCCACCTTTTGCTCCCATGGGTGGATATGGAGGAGGCTCCTCTAACTCCTTCAACCAGATGCCGACAGGGGCCGCTCCCACCACCAGCAGTAACGCTGACTACCCACAACTCAACGCTCGCGCCAACATCAACCCCAGTGGTTACGGTACGGTACAAGTACACGGGGTTCTGTGGGTTAATACTGACCATCATGATTGTTATTATTCACAATTGATCACAAATAACTGTGATTGTTATCAATTAATCGTGATTAATTGGAATAAATCCACTGCCATGCATGTACATTGCTGGAACAGAAAGACAAAACACAGCTGGTAGATGTGAATGTTTCACTTATATTTGTGACTTAATCCAAATAATGGAATTATCAGCATGAAAAAAAAATACAAAAAATATTTTTTTTTAGCTTAATTAGGCCTCTAAATCACAATATTATGAATAATGGAATTATCAGCATGAAAAAAAATACAAAAAATTTTTTTATTGAATTAATGGTGGAATTATTGGCTGTACATTTGTTTAAATAAGTTTTTTTAAAAAGTTTGATCTGAAGAATTTTACAAATAAACAGTGGAGATAATCAGGTTAGTTCATTCTGCTCTCTCTCTCTCTCTCTCTCTCTCTCTCTGCTCCAGATGGCTCTCAATCTGGGGCTCAGTTTCCATCCAGAGCAGCAGAGGCCGTGTGGCCTCAGTGGCAGGGCCCGCAGCACTCACAGAGCGGTGCAGAGCAGCATCCCCACGCACAGGGCAACCAGCAGGACATGTTTCCTGTGAGTCTCCCAGAATTCATTTCCTATTCTCCTCATTTATCTCTCCTTCAATTCCTAAGAGTTTTTCTTTTTGTTTTGTTTTGTTTTTTTCCATCGAACCAGGATGTGTTGTCGTTGCTGGACCAGCCCGCCAACTTTAACAGTGACGACTTTGAGATTCCCATCTACCCTCCCTTTAATGAGTGACCGGGGGCAAATCTTCTCCTGGTTTTTTTCCCACCCTTTTTATCCTCTTAGCCCTTGCTCTTTTTTTTTTTTCTCGGTCTGTATGCGTTTTCGTCCTCCTCCTCCTGAGAGTAGCGCTCTTTCCCCTGCTTTGCATGGCTTCCACTCCACAGCCACAGGCCGACGGAAGACAGGAGGGATCTCTGTGCCTGCAGACACATTCAGAGGAGGAAACTCAAGGATCTGCTACTGATGCATAAAAAAAAAAAATTTTTTTTTTGTTTAGAATATTCCAGCCATTGTAGAAGCCAGCACTGCCCAAAGCCCAGTAACACGCTGTAGATATGTGATATAAATATATACATAAACATATATAAAGAGATATATTGAGGCGCACAATCACAAAATTGAATCAGCCGCACGGTGGTGACACACTTTGGCGTTCTGACTTGCACAGAAGGCGATCACGCGCACAACGGCAACAGGGGTTTTAATATGATGGCGTTCTCGACCATCGATTGGTGGACTCACCCCCCGCCCCGCCCCGCCCCCTCCCTCATACCATGTGGACTAGTGGCTCCCATCGTGACAGAGTCTCTCAGGTAATTCTAATGGTGTAGAGCGCACACTACCACACGCTTTCACTCTTTACTGACGACACTCGTTGTGTCCTTTTGAGGAACACACACGCACGCACACGCGCACACACCTGTGATCTGTATGGAATATTGTACTAACAATACAGTGTTGGAACGACTTCCTTAAATTGGGTCTGAATGGAAATGTACTATATATATATATATATATATATATATATAAGTATCTGTTATTCTGTGCTTACACATACATATATACACGATGATGTGTGTGTATATGTGTGTGTGTGTGTGTGTGTTGGATGTCTATGTTGTTATCAAATGTACGTACAATCACAGGGTTTTTTGACTTGCTCTTCTCTGCTATGACCTGTACATGGTATGGGTGTTTTCTACTGCTTTTATAAAAGACATATTTATAGAAACAAAAAAACTCACACAGCAATAATTAACAAGCAGGAAACGAGTACCGTATTTTCCAGACTATACGTTGTATCAATGAAGAAGGAAAAAAACAAAAAAAACAAATGCAGCGCGGTCGTTACGAATTTATTTTCGGTAACTTTATTGGTATTTGTATCTATTTTCACCAGAATCCAAGAACTATTTACATTTACTCAAAGTCCTGAAGAAGAAAAACGTAACAGACTAACGAGTTTACTAACCCATTTACGATCACTGAATCCATTTTTCCTCAGTTTCACTTCTCAACAATTCCTCTGACTCTGGAGGAAGATAATGCTCCCTCTCTCCACCTGCTGGACTGTCGTGACTCAGCAACTGTCTGTTAGTTTCTTCTCTGCTGCTCCATACCTGTTTTTTTTTTTTTGGCTGCATACTTTATAAATCTGATCTTATAAATTCTGCGGTGGAACTTTCTCTGTTCCATCACAATTTATTAGTGTACTTTAATGAAGTTTTACTCTTTCAGTGACGCACTAGCGGTGTTTGGTGTTAACGCTGCCCTCTCGTGGCCATAGAGGATAATGCGTACTGTATATATTTATTTATATAAGGATCAGCAAAACTGCAACAAAAAAAAGGCTCAACTTATAGTCTGGAAAATATGGTGCTTAAAAAGCCATTCTCTATCGTGTTCTTGGTCGTTTTTATATGAAATTGGTAAATATGCTTGTAATGTATTGGTTTTTTTTTTTAATTGGTTAATTTTAATTTTTAGGTCAAACCTCTTTTTTTTTAATAATCTTTTCATCTCGTTTCCCTGTTTAGGCAGTTTCTTCTCAGTGGTTTGATCAGGGTATATAAAAAAAAATTCAGAACTTAAAGCAGGACAATCTCAGACTGTGCAGCAGTGCTCTGTTCAGTCGTCTTCTGTGACGAACACGTTGACTAACCACTCTGTTTCAAGATGCGACTTTGAAAAAGTGAGTTTTAGAGGAATTATGTTGTGACGGAAGCTGATGCTTCAGTGGACTATGAGTTGGATTTGATCTTTTATTACAATGTTATAAAGTTTTTTGTGTAGCACCAGCACAGTGGAATTCTGCTATTGTATGTGAAGCCATGCTCATTATTGTCCAGTTTTAAATCTTTGGTGTTGTCTTTGTTATCTTTTTTTTTTTAAGCTTTGTTTCCTTTGTTTTTCTGTTTTCTCTTTTCAATGATGTGAACTTCACTCATTCAACAGTTATATAAATATACTGTGTATGTTTCGAAATGTAAAATGAGAAAATGTTTTGTAATAAATTGTTACGATGTCAGAAATTGAGTTGGATTTTTATACAGCCTTCTAGTCCGCTGTTGTCTCCTCCGTTCAAAGATCACAAACGTCATGGTTGTTTCTGCTGTGTTTTTAGTCAACAGTTTTATGTCAACAGGCGAGGAAACCAAAGCCACCTTGGCTGGGATCGGCCTGGATCCGTTTTCTGTCCTCTTTCTGTAAACAGGTGAAGATGTCAGAGACATCGGAGGGGTTTGGGTTGAGCTGGGATCAGTTTGCCTCCTTTCTTCCACTTCTTTGTTTCACAGCCTGCAGGAGAAAATGTATGAATTTGGTCCTGGTACCAGTTGGACTGTCAGCCATGCCACGATCGTGTGCGTGTGATCAACCGTAAATCTTTTTCCCGCATGGATGAGTGCAACCAAACGATTCAGCCTCTCAGCACTTTGTCCCGATCTCTTGTTGTTTGCACGGCCTGGTTACTTTTAACTGGTGTTTGTGGTGTCACCTCAAGCATCTGCATTTTTGGTCAGGATCAGTTTTCAAACCCTCTCAAGTAGAGTGCCATCAAGGCTTCATATCCTCTTTCTCCTCTTCACTCTCATCCTTTCCCTCCACTTCTCTCGCATTTTTCCGATGAAATCAATGAAGTCAATGAAGTCCTTAAATGAAAGCGTTGTTGCACTTCAAGGCCAGCACTTCCCTAATCTGCCACCTTGTCATAAAAATCATAATTTGCAAGGAGCTGCGTTCTTCTTTGCACACATCTAACCTTTGTCCGCAGCAGGATCCAGTGACCGCTGCTGAGGTGTCATCTCCTGTCCAGGTCTAATCACCTGAAGTGACCAGCGTGTCGTCTGAGTGTTCTAATCTGAGGGACAGCCTGATCATTACCATAGGTTTTAACTATTCATGCAGCACACAGGTGCCAAATGGGTTAGGGTTAGGACTCAGTGTGTGTGTCCACCACTTCATCTTATCTTTACTTAGAGAACAGTAGGTGTCCCTGCTGTGATTAAAAAACAGAGACAATTTTTGGCAGATTTGACATGTCCATAATTCTTTAGTGGAGCAAATACAACAGTGACTCTAAAATTATTTTTGGATTTACCACCATGGACCAACCGACGTTCCCTGCTGCCAAACTGGATGTGGATGTGGATCTTGGTTTTGCCATCTTCTTCTTCATCTCCCTCTGCCTTTTCTTGTGTTTGTTCATTGTCCGCTGTGCTCAGTTGGTGCTGGACCCTTACAGCGCTGTGTCTGTGTCGATGTATCAGGAGGAACAATCAGGGGACTGAAGAAGAGCAGGGAGACACGGACTGTATAAATGGAAAAAAAATACTTCTTTCAGATTGAACAGTGACACAAATGAAGAAAATTGACACTCCCCAGTGTCTGAGGATTGCTCTGTAAATTAGCTTTTTTCTCTTGGGTTTAGAATTCAATCAAATAGCTTTTGTGACATTTTGTGCAAAGCGCTTAAAACAGTCTAAGAATCTAAAAAAAAAGAAAGTGGAAATGTGAGATTTTTTTTATTAACAATTATGTAGACTATTTCATGCTATTTTGACACTTTTCCACTTATGTTTTTTTTTTTTTTTAATTTTTTGTTCTAAACACCATGGCTTCATTTTGATCTGGTGGAGAAGTCATGTGGCTCTCTGACCCACTAATTCAATCTATTCCAAACTATACATTGTAAAATGTTTCTATATCATTTTCCCCTAAGTATCATATAGCACGATGTTTCAGCATTTAGGATAAAATCACGCAAGTTTACAGCAATAATAATAATCCTTTTATTCAAAGTGCTTATGATTTATTTTTATATAGATTTAATGAGGCGGTAAATACGGAGCATGCTATGGATCCACAAATGGGTTTTGACTGTACACCTTGACATCCCCGCTGGGCGGACCGATGCTTTCTCTCTGATCCCGCTGCAAATCGACGCATGTAACACCGCCTATTTTGAGCGCACCGAGCAGGAAATCATGCGTCTCCTTCTGCAGCTAGCTATTAGCATCCGTTAGCGGTTTGGGAACATAAAAATGGAAAGCAGCGACGGGTGAGTGATGAGTGTTGTTGTCATTTAAAAAATTACAGTTAAAACAAGCATTAAAGAGACGTTTCAAATAATTACTCGGTGTTATTTTCCCATCCGATATAAATGCTATTTACGCAGAAAATTAGACATTTTGCACACAGATGCTAGGCTAACATGCTACCTACTCAAGCTAACAGACCTTAGTTTGTTGTGACTTTGATAACATTACTGTCCACAGTGTGTCCCAACGCAGTGTTTAAATGGGGCAAGTGAGTTAAACAGCTGTTTTGGCACGAACGAGTGACTAAATTTATAAAGTTATAAAGACATTTTGCAGCCTAACGTGCCTAATTTGGGCAGATATTAGGTAAGTTTTTATGCATTGTTTTTTTACAGAATGGATATTTTTAGTTGTACCGTTGTTTACATCCTTAAACCTTCAGCATCTTTTCATCCTGCAGTTGAGTATCATGACGTTGATGCTCGTAATGCAGTGGAACAGATTTTGCATCATTCATTGTTCACGTGACTGTACAAAAGTTTTAGGCAGGTGTGGAAATATGCTGCAAGTGTGAATAGTTTATTTTCATCAATTAACAATGATAAATTTACACAAATTGTCAATTAAATCAATATTTGGTGTGGCCAGTTGCCGTTGTATTTAAAACATTAATTTAATGCTTCTATGTACTGTAGACTTAAACACAGTTTTTATGGGTTCCGTATGTGGTTCCACACGCCCTCTGGATGTAGGTCTGGGCAAATCCTTCTGTATCGTCATGTAATCCCAGACTACATAATGTTGATATTGTTGTATTGTTGTCTTTTTTATTTACAGTTGTATATTATATAAAAAAGTTATTTATTTTTTTATTTTGTTAGTTTCTTTAGTTTTTACAGATATAGTTCCCAAAGTAGGGGGCAGGCCCCGTTAACAGGCAAGGAGCTTCTATCAGAGGCGGCACCAAAAAGCAAATTCAATTTTAATTACAGTGTTTAAAATACGACATCAATTACAAATGTGACATGTTTGGATCCAGGTGAGGTGTCCTCATCTGGTTTTGTCTGTGTCCCTCTCCAGGATGGACGTGGACGGCTGGGACTCCAGTCTGGAGGAAGAATTAGGTGTTTCTCTGGACGACCTCAGGAAGTGCATTGAAGAGGCCGTGGAGCAGAGTGAGATCGTGAAGAAGAAAAAGGCTCAGCTGACGGAGCTGAAGAAATGGGTGGAGCAGAAGGAGAAGGAAGAGGCTTTGACTGAAGGACTCCTCAAGGACGCCAGCCAGTGAGTTTTAATTAAACCGTTTGTTTTCTTTGAGGCGGTGGAGGATGTTATATGATAGGAAACATTTTGGTCATACATATACTGTGGTAATAAGCTGATATTTGTCCAAAATAAGTTTGGAAAATATCTTTATTTTAAGTGGATTTGTGTAGCATTATCAGTGTTTAATTTTGTGTGTTTTTTTTTGTTTTACTGTTATTTTCTTTCAGGTCCATTCTTGAATGTGAGATGCTGGTGAAGGCCACCTTCCGTAGGAATGGTCTTGTTTACGGGGAGAGCAGCTCCGAGGATGAGGGAGGTGGAGGAGGGATGCTGCCCTCTTCTGAGGTCATAGAAATAGAGGACGATGATGAGGATGACGATGTCATTGCCGTTGGCTGTTGTACGTTTATTTTAATTTTTTAAGTTTAAGTTATTACATTTTTAGTTAATATTTTCCATTGCTTTATAATAAAGTAATTTGCAATTTTTTTTCCTTTGCAAAATTTTAGTGGTTCCTCCCACGAAGCCCCTGACTCCTGTGAAAGATTCAATGGTGAGAGTCTGACAGTTTATCAGACAAAATATTTTCTATATTTTCTATTTTCTAATATTGGCCTCTCAAAGGCAATAAAACAACTGTTATGTCAGAAGAGTAAATACAGTCAATATGAGTTCTGTTTTGAGATATAGAATAGAGAATATTTTGTCCATTCATTTCTCATTAATAAATATTGGCTTGACTTCATGAATCTAACTGTAGCAAAAATAATAATAATAATGATGTTGAAATTGTTTTTTTTTTCTACTGCTAGCTAACAGAAGCATCTGCAGCGATACAGAAAACCAGTCATCAGGTGCAGAAGTTGGCTCAGATGGTCAAGCCAACAGCAGGGGTCTCTATTCTCCGGTCTACAGGACCACCAGGTCTGTGCACAGACAGTCTATCAAACGCAGACCTGTCTCTGAGACATGTTTTTAACAGAACTTACTATTAGAAAATATCTTTTGTTTGTTGTTCCGACAGGTGCTGCGGGTTCAGCGCCAGCAGTGTTTGTGTCACAGGTTGCCTCTGGGTCCTTGACCCAGCCCAAGGCAAACGTAGAAGAGGACGAGGTCCGAATCGGGATGAACATTTTGGGAAAGAAACGCACAAAGACGTGGCACCGAGGCGTCCTGGTCGCTATCACCCCCGTCGGTAACTGACCGTGTCCTCATCTTTATGTTGATACAAGACATTGATTTAATGATTGAACTAAATGAAACTAAAACATGGTCAAATGTGGCTGAAATTGCGCCCCCTTTTGTCTGTGTGCAGCGAACGACACATTCAAATACAAAGTGAAGTTCGATAAAGGAAAGAGTTTGCTGTCAGGAAACCATGTGGCCTTTGATTACAACCCCACCCTGGAGAGTCTGTATGTTGGTGCACGTGTGGTCGCCAAGTACAAGGACGGCAACCTGGTGTGGTTGTACGCAGGAATAGTCGCAGAGATGCCCAACAATAAAAACCGTATGAGGTGAGTGGACGAAAAACTTAGAAGTCTTATAAACTAAATCTGAGCTTCTCAAACTTTTTCTGCACCAACTCCTCTTCTGTTCATCGCAGCTTCTCTGCCACAAACGTTTTTTTGAAAAACATCATAATGTCTTTTTTACACCTGTGTATTTCTTAGACACGGGCCTTCTAGGGTTGTGGCCCTCACTTTGAGAACCACAGCACTAGATTATATAGCAATTATTATAAACTCTGATAAAACTTTCAAACTTTTAACAATATTTTCATGCTGTTAGGATTGACGTCGTGTTTTATTCTTGTGTGTGGGTTTCAGGTTCCTCATATTTTTTGACGATGGCTACGCTTCTTATGTAACACTACCTGAGCTCTTCCCCGTCTGTCGACCGAGTGAGTGTCCAGTCCTGTCAAAACGAAGCTGTTAAATCTGCCATGAAATGGAAAAAAAAAAAGTCCAATTACGGTGACGGTGTGGCTTTACAGTGAAACGTACCTGGGAGGACATAGAGGACGCGTCGTGTCGAGACTTCATAGAGGAGTACATCACTGCGTATCCCAGCAGGCCCATGGTGCTGCTGAAGGTCAACCAGATCATCAAGACAGAATGGGAGGGCACCTGGTGGAAGAGCAAAGTGGAGGACGTTGACGGCAGCTTGGTGAAGATTCTCTTCCTGGTATGTCTGCATCATGTGAAAAAGTGTCATTATATATATATTTATATATATATAAGTATTTTATAAGTATTTTATATATGTATATATATAATTATATAAATTTAAAAAATATTTATATGTATATTTATAAATATATATATTTAAAAATATATTTTATATTTATATATATATATTTATATTTTCTAATATATATATTCTCTTGATCTGTGATTTTTAAAATGTTTTACACTGTCTACCACTTCTGAAAATATTTGTCTCGCCTTATACTACCTAAAAATTCTACTCTGTTCACCTCAGCACAGTACTATATACGGATTTTTTTTTTTTTATTCCTAATAAGATGATTAGATTATACCCACTACAACTGGAACTTAAATTTAAATTTAGAAATCAGATTCCCCTGCTTACCACAAGAGGGAGCCCAAATACCACCAGTGGTACCCATACCTCCGTTTGAGAACCACCTGACGTGATCTGTGTTGTTATTTGACCAGGATGATAAAAGGAGTGAGTGGATCTACAGAGGGTCCACCAGGTTGGAGCCCATGTTCAATCTGAAGATGACCACAGCCAACACCCAGGAGAAGAAGCTGGCCGGCCAGCAGAGGACACGACCAAATATGGGTATTTGCACATAACAAAAGACAGAGAGAGAGAGTTCTCGCCACTGACAGTGTTGGAATGTTAGATTTTCATTAAATTTTTTTTGTTTGAATTCACTCCCAGGCGCGTTGAGGAGCAAAGGTCCAGTTGTGCAGTACACCAGTGATGGACTAGTGGGAGCCTCTCCTGTCAAAACCACACAGATCACCGTGTCTCCGTCCCCACCGACTGTACAGCCCCGTCCTCTGCTAGCACAACCCCCGCAAATTCAACCAAGCCCCCAGCCACGCATGGAGTAAGTGACTCTGTCCTTACACCTTTGTTTTAGTGCAGAACGTAATAGTCGGTCGAACGTCACTCGATGTTTGGACTTTAGCTAGTTAAAGAGACTAGCGGTAGAGACGACAGACCATTGACTTTATTCACATTATCAAATATTGCGATATTTTACGATACTCTTAATACTTGATCATTTTTAATAATACCAGTCAAATATTCTTTTTTTTTTGCTCCTTTCCATACAATCTGTGTTTCTCCCACTTTTTGATTTTTAGCACCAAACATCAGATGGCAAAGAAGAGCACCTCACCATTTGTCCCCGGGGTGGGGGGCACACATGCTTCTAAAGTCATGCAGTCTCTTTCGTCCACTTCCTCCAACCTCCCTGGGTGAGTTCACCTGACGGTACCATGTACAGACCAAAAACAAAACAAAAAAAAAATATATATATTTCTTTTTGTTAACGTGACCTTCTCAGACCTGCTGCTGTAACAATCCACAGAGGAAGAACGCTGAATCCTCCGACTATCACCTACCAGAGACAGCAGTCCACACCAGCACCTGTCCACCCCGTTATGACCCGCGCCGTGTCCACCGTCCCACAACAGGCCCCCTACCGCGCCCCTACAGACCGCATCTTCTACATGGTGCACACGTGTCAGCCCGCCTGTCTCAACCGCGTCCGACCCTCCAAATCAGACGTTCACAGAGGGAAGAACCCCCTCCTCACACCGTTACTCTACGACTTCAGACGGATGATAGGAAGACGCAAAGTCAACCGCAAGGTGCACATCAGCCCTCGACATTACTCTGTGCTAACTCTTGCACTGATGCTAAACGCTAAATTCTGTCTTTTTTTTCCTACACTTGTCCCCCTCCTCCCCGTCCCAGATGTTCTTCCATGTGATCTACAAGGCCCCGTGTGGACTCTGTCTTCGTAACATGCCAGAGATCCAGAACTACCTCTTCCTGACACAGTGTGACTTTATATTCTTGGAGATGTTCTGTTTGGACCCCTATGTTCTCGTGGACCGCCGCTTCCAGCCTCAGAAGCCGTGCTATTACATTCCAGACATCACTGATGGAAAAGAGGACATCCCCCTTTCCTGCGTCAATGAGATTGATTCCACTCCACCGCCTGACGTAGCCTACAGTGAGAAGGACAATCAAAATTTAGTGGAACAAAACCTGTTTGTATTTTTGTGCTGTAAAGTAGATAAAACCAAAGGAATTCTGCTAGAGTACGTCTGTGTCTTATCTTCCAGGTAAAGAACGTATTCCTGAAGATGGAGTGTTTATCAACACCAGCTCCGACTTCCTGGTTGGATGTGATTGTACCGACGGATGTCTAGACAAGTCAGTGAAGCTGCTCTTCGACGCCTCCCACTTCCTCTGATCTGTTTTCTTACGTCACACGTTTGTGTCTTCCTCACAGATCCAAGTGCTCCTGTCATCAGCTGACGCTGCAGGCCACAGGTTGTACTCCAGGTGGTCAGATCAACCCCAACGCTGGATATTTGTACAAACGATTAGAGGAGTGCCTGCCCACGGGGTCAGACATTCACACACACTCGTGATAGGTTTTATTATTAGGTTTTAACCTAATAATATTTTATAAAACATCAAAAATTGGATGGTCAGAGATAATTTTCTTTTTTCTTTTCAAAAATTGGATGGTCAGAGATAATTTTATTTTTTCTTCTTTGTTTTTAGCATCTACGAATGTAACAAACGCTGCAAATGCTGTGCTGAGATGTGCACAAACCGCCTCGTTCAGCACGGCCTGCAGGTGCGTCTCCAGCTTTTCAAGACCCAGAATAAAGGCTGGGGCATTCGCTGTCTGGACGATGTCGCCAAGGGTTCTTTTGTCTGCATCTACGCTGGTGAGATGACGAGCGGTTACGTCACGCGTGCACAGCTGAAGTCGCACTTTTACTGACGCAGCCCTTTTTTTTCTTTTCTTGTACTTCACCAGGTAAAATCCTGACGGATGACTTTGCAGATAAAGAGGGTCTGGAAATGGGTGATGAGTACTTCGCAAATCTAGATCACATTGAAAGTGTAGAGAACTTTAAGGAGGGCTACGAGAGCGAGGCTCACTGTTCAGACAGCGAGGGCAGCGGTGTGGACATGTCCAGGATGAAGGTCAAACCCGGTGTGTCGTCATCTCAGTCGGGTGCCCAGCACACAGGTAAGTACAAAAGTCATCTGGGTTTCACCGTCTGAATGGGAGACGGAGGAAACACCGATGGCAACTTGTCTGTTTTCTCTCTGTCCCAGCCCAAAGCCAGAGCTCCTCGGACAGCAACGACGCGGACGACAAGGACTCGAAGAGTGAAGAGGAGAGTGACAGTTCAGACGACACGTTTGTCAAAGACAACTTCTACACCCCCAGCTCTGTGTGGAGGAGCTACACCACACGGGGTCAGGCCAAGGGCAACAAAGAAGGTGAGCCGGTCGTTTCTTCAACTAATACTCAGACGATGGTTTGATGAAGAATAATCAGTGATCAACGTCACTGTTAATCTGTTCTGACAGAAACATTCTACTCATTTTCAGGCAAAATATTTATAAAGCGTTTTCGTCTGCATCAAACCAGTGTATTCTCTCTGTCCACTGGTGGACTTGAAATAAATATTTGTTTTCTTTCCCTTGTTTTGTGCACAGGGAGTCAGGACAGTAAAGACGGACTTGGTGGTGCGGCCAAGGAAACAAGTGAACAGAAACCACCGTCGATGCCAGAGGAGACGGGAAAAAGTAAAGTAGCTTCATGGCTGACGAGTCAGGGGCTAAAGAAGGTGAGTGAGGAAAGGATAAAGAGAAAATGTAATATACGTTGTAGGTGGTCAGAAACCAGAGACACTGAAAGCTAGACTAACAAAGACCAACAGAGAGATCAGGAGTTCTTCTGTTTGTAGATTAAAAAAAAAAGTTTATTAATTGGGGTTTTGTAGCCAAAACATAATAATAAGCCAGAAGAACAGACTGTATTTGTTAGTAAAGACAATGAACTGTACTGGTCTCAGATTCTGAAGGGTGTGGAGAATAACCAAAGAGTTTTTCTTTTCTTTGTTTTAGGACTCAGGAGACAGCAAGAGGTTTGTTGGACTTTTTTATCCTTGGAAATATTTTTAAATGTTAAAATATTTCTATATTAATTACAGAGAACTGTCAGCTGTGGCTCATTATGATTTTTTTTCTCTTCATTTTCTCAGTCAAGTAAAGTCAGAAACAGGAAAAAAGCAGGATGTGATGACGCTGTCTGACAGTGACGACGTTCAGACCATCAGCTCTGGATCTGATGACAACAAAGAGAAAGAAAAAATCATACCAGGTGAATAGTTTTTTTACTTTTGATAATATAATAATAATAATATAATATAATATATATATAATAATAAAAATCACCTCAGAATCTTCCCCTCATGCTCACATTGTTGTCGTCGTGGCTCAGGTTTGACCAAGAAGCAGGTGGCAGTTAAATCGACTCGCGGCATTGCTCTGAAGACCAGCCATGGTATGATGGTAAAATCAGGAACACCAGGAGGAAGTGGAGGTCAGGGGGGTCAGGGAAGCAAAACAGGACAACAAGGCCAGACCGCAGGAGGCGGAGAAAACATTTCCAAAAACACCAGACTGTTCTTTGACGGCGAGGAGTCCTGCTACATCATTGATGCCAAGTTGGAAGGAAATCTTGGGCGATACCTCAACGTAAGGATCAACTGAGGGATGGCAGTAGACTAACCGTTCCTAGAGTCTAAACATCACCAGTTATTTTGTCTTTTTTTTTTGTTCCTCACAGCACAGCTGTAGTCCCAACCTCTTCGTCCAGAATGTCTTTGTGGATACGCACGATTTACGATTCCCCTGGGTGGCTTTCTTTGCCAGCAAGTGAGTTTAAAGTCTTTATTATCGTAGTCTAACATTGGGGGTCTACCTAGAAAGGAGCACTGCCCCAGGCACAGGTGTCATGCTGTTGTGAGTGTGCCCTTAAGGTGGCACTAGTGCGTCATGTGTGAAACTTTGATTATTGCTTGCCCTTAGTTCCTAAGAGTTCTAAATTGTGTCTGATTTAATCAGTACTGATCAGTACAGACACAATTTAAATGCAGTGGAAAGAAACAGCACTCATTTATCTCATTTAAAGCAACCCCTCCATACCCTGCCTTTAAGATGACCTCAATCTTGATCTTTCTTGCTCATGCGTATCTTTGTGCAGGCGGATCAGGGCCGGCACAGAATTGACCTGGGACTACAACTATGAGGTGGGCAGCGTGGAGGGTAAAGTCCTGTTGTGCTGCTGTGGATCCACAGAGTGCAGAGGACGACTGCTGTGATCTTCTGAACCATTACAAACGTCATTCCCTCAGCTGCAGCAAAGAGGACGCCCTTCAACACTGTAACCTTTTCAATGCTGAACTATGTTTCCATAGTGTTGGTTTCCCCCCCTTTTTTTTTTAGAAACTTTAAACCCAGCTTTATTTTACACTGTGTTTACATTATGTTGTTATGTTATGTTGTCGTAGCCTTGAATAAAGGTAGTTTTCTATAGTGTATCATAGATTCGTTTTTTTTTTGTAAAACAAAAAAAGTATTTAAACAAAACTATCCAAATACAATTTAATTTTTTTGTTAATAATATTAGTTTTATTACATTAGTTGCCAAATAAATCTAAAAATTAGAAATGCGAAAGTATTGCTATCACTTCCATGTCGGGTTTAGTCGGTTGCCATGACGTCTTTCTGGTAGTGACCAATCAGCGCGTAGGAAATAATTAAACATTTATGAAATTACTTTTCTCCATTTTATTTTATCGATCTTTATTATTCGATATTCGGAAACGTTTCGTAAAAATGTTTTACTACCCAGCAGTTTTGAGATACCGCACTGGATGTTTTTCTACGATTTGGTGAGTAAAAGTTTAATTTTATTTAATCGAGTTCAAATTTAATTTTCAGTAAAGTTTCATAAACTTAGCTTTAGCTTTCAAGCTATCTCACTGGATCGTTTGATAGCGGCGGGAGAATGTTCGAGTTTTTTTTTTTTAAATCGAGTTAGAATTTTTAAATAATCAATTACTACGGAAAATTGGACGTTACCATTGAATTAAAAATTAATGTTAATACGCTGGTATGTGGCGTTATAATAAATGCTAACTAAGCGTGCGCTAACAAAAACGTTAATCGATTTAAAAAATATACATTAGCATAATTATAAAGTTTTACGAATAGTCAGTGAATACGATATGTGCTTATATTGTATATATTATCAAGTATATGACGTTATATGTTCAACTATTTAATTAATGTAAAAAGTATTTGATCAAGTGACGTCATCATACTGCGGTCCGTTGTTTGGCGTTTAAGTAGCGATATAAATCATTTCCGATTGTATGCATACAATTTAAATTCATTTTCAGTCGTTTTAGGTTCGTCCAAGTGAGATTTTTGCTCTCATAGATTCAGTTATGGAATCTATCGTTGTAAAAGTTGGATTATTTGAGCATTTAAATATAATGAAGCATTTTTTTGTTATGATTTTAGGCAAGTTGCAACAAGGGGTACAAGGGTTCCTCGCCGGGACTTCCTCAAAGTCAACGTAATACGCACATGGTAACGTTTTTCTTACGATTTTTTAATGCTGTTTTACTGCCTGATCAACAAGCAATTCAGTTAGTGTGACAAACCATTGTCTTGTCCAGTGTTGACGTCATGAGTTACGTGCTGGAGCAGGTCCCGCCTCCATACCCTGGTCTGCCGCGACCTCGCTTCTCTCTCTACCTGTCCTCCCAGCTCCAGTACGGCATCATCCTTGTCTATCACCGGCAGTGTGCCATTCTTCTGGGTGAGGAGTTGTTACAGGACTGAAGACACAGATTCTGACTTGGTCCAAACTGTTTCTGGCTCTTTTTTGTCCCATTCCTTCCAGAGGAGCTTCATCACACTCTGAAGCAGCTGTTAAAACAGAGGCTGGGCCAGAAAATAGACCTGGATGACCAGACTAAGTAAGAACACTTGGTGCTGCTCAGATGGTAGTTTGTTTATGAAAAGGCAGCCGTGGTGCCAAATCAACAAAATGCATCATCAAAACAAACCACTGACAAACACAGGAATTATAATCCCCCTGAAAATGACTCAGAATTTGATGAGTACTGTCTTGGTCGTCCTCCCCTTTGTACCGTATACGTCAATACATATATTTTTTGAGGCAGATTCTGTTGGTTTAGCTGCAGTGGTGCTGCTACCGTGAGGACACTTTCCATGTAACTTCAAAAACAAGGCAACGAACACCCGTTTTTGAGTCCGGATATTAATTTCTTCCTGTTGTTCTATCTCTCAGACAATCTCTGGTTCTTCCTGATGCTCTCGCTCTCATGGAAGCAGAACAAGGTCTGGACTCTTCATTTGGAGTGATTGGTATGGAGCTGCCGAGTCCCACTGCACTCATATGGGTAATGAATACTAACACAGGATACTAATGCACAGAGGAACAATCGCAGTATTTCTGTCTATTTGCATAAGTTTATATTCAAACTTTGTTGAAAGTGAAAACAGCTCTTCCCTCTCCACATGTCCTCTAGATGGGTGAGGGGAAGTTCACGACTTCCTCTCCTGAACTCTCTCCTGAACTCTCTCCTGAACTCTCTCCTGAATTAACCAGCCCTTCTGCTGCTGCTGCTGTTGCTGCTGCAGAAACAGGTGAGATGACACTGAGATGACACTGTATCGACATGATAATAATGATGCCCTCAGGACACAGTGAAGCAGTGAGGAAGAGCAAACATTATTATTACAGAATTATTACCATGGCTGTAATAAAAATTGGTTTATTTTCTCTGTCTCAGTCGTAATAATTACTTCGAAGGAGCTGTGAATTAGTCAACATTAACGATGACTAACTGAGATAAACCAACACAACTGAATATGACAAAAACAGAAATAACAGCAGGTAGATGTTTGTGATTCATGTCTAATCTCAAATGATGGTAAAATAATATGAAATATAATATATTAAAACTTTCATGGCGGTTTGTCATGCAGTCAAACAATTCTACATGTTAGTAACAAAGTAATGTATAGATGTGTATCCCATCTTGAACGTAGCAGATGTCACTTTTACTTCATATCTAACAAAAAAAGTTTAAATGACATTTTTTCAAATAAATCACTTTTCTTGCGCAGGAGGCAGTTTTCAGTTGTAATTAATTGCTGCTTTTTTTTTCTTGTATGCTACACTGATAGAGCTGCAGTCTCACACACAATGATGTTACTGTAAAAATGATTTACGGTCTAATCTCAAATGATGGTAAAATAATGTGAAATATAATTAATTGCTGCTTTTTTTTGTATGCTAACTGCAGTCTCACAAACAATGAATTTATTATCAAAATGATTTACATGCAGACCCACCTGATATTAAAATATTAACAAATACCAAACAACATGAAGAGACCTTACACCATGTTTAGATGTGCATCTATTTTAAACACGATCTTCTTTCCTGTACATGATTAGACACACACACACTTACACTCACCAGCTCGCGTTAAACCAGTCATCAGCAGCTTTGATTAAATTGTAACAAGGGACATTTAATCCTTGTCCAGAGATGTGCAGCACGTCTGGCCGTGTGCAGTGATATGCAGAAAAATACCAACAGGTCACAGAAATAGCCAGTGCTCTCAGACTGTGCACAAATCCTGGCAGAAAAACAAAGTGTAGAGAGAGAAGCCGGTGCAGGTCAGGTCAGGGCAGGGCAGGGCAGACTGCCGTCAACAACATCCTCCTAATTGGGCCCAGACTCTGTGCACGGTGCTGTCAGGGTGTGTTGAACAGCTTTACTTCAGCTGGGCAGCAGCCAGCACTTTAATTACAGCGTGATTAGTTGTTTCCTCTCCCACTGCTTTTTCAGGAGATTGTGGCAAAATGAAATCTTTAAAGTGGCTTTTTTTCTTTTTTTTTCAGGCCTGACTGCATCTCCAGAGAGCATCACTCTGAGAGAAGAGGAGCCTGTCACTGTCCCCAGATCAGAGGTACAGAATCACACAATCACTACGGAGGACATGTTCGTTTTCTGTCTGATCTCCACCAGATTCTCAGTCATCCCTCTCTCCAGTTTGAAGGTGCAGAGCTCCCTGAACAGCTGTCTGATATTCTCGACCTGCTCATGGCTCAAACAGATTATTTTGAAGGTGTGCAGAGAATTTTCGAAACTCGTGCTTTTTCTTAAATAAAGGCACAAAATAAAACACAGTATGTCACAGCACTGAAACAAAGACATCACATGAATATTTATGTCCAACATTCTTTTTATCCTTTCTACCAGGAGAGGTGCCGAGCGAGGAGACGACAGTGGGAGAGCAGCCTCCGGAGATAGAGAGAGGACAAGATGTGGAGAGAGAGAGAACACCTGACCTCACCGAGTCCACTGCTGAGTAAATCATTCAAACACCACAACAACATTCACCAACTCCACATTTAATATCATTTAGTCTGTGTCTGCCGCTCCTCCATCTGGTTGAGAATTTGGCAGCTCAGCTCTGTGTTTTACCAGACAACATCACCTCCGTGCTTGACCCTCCTCTGCTCCCTTGTGGTTTTTAATGTTCATTTTATTGCTTGCCCTTCTTTCCTAAGAGTTGTTAATATGTTACAAACAGCTTGTTTGGATCAAAATCTGAAGTCCGTCACTGTCACATTGAATCTAAATGTCTGTTCCTTGGCTTAAACAGACGTGTATTTGTGCTTCCCTCAGAGGGCAGTAATGGGGTTTTTGTGTGCTTCCCTCAGAGGGCAGTAATGGGTTTTTTTGTTTGTTGTTTGTTGTGCATATTCTGACTGGTTTACGTTTTCCTTGTTTTCCTGGTCAGATTGCTGCCTCACACTGTCTCCAGTGTAGAAGCCATGTTGTTGCCTCAGGACGAGCCTTCTGTCTCGGAGGAGACACCAGGGCCACCTCCAGTCCATCTGACCCCTCCAGGCCATGTGACCCCTCCAGAACATGTGACCCCTCCGACCAGTGTGATCCTTCTGACCCATGTGACCCCTCCAGCCCGTGTGACCCCTCCAGCCCTTCTGATCCCCGTCCTTTCCTCACCTTCACCTGCCCCTCCTCCCCCTCCACCAGAGTTGGAGGTAAGAGCTTCTGTTAAAGTTTAAAACTCTCACTTTAATATTTGGAATAGTGATCTTCTTCCTAAGAGAAGTTTAGAACAGATACAAATCTGTGGTTAATTTGCAATGAATCCTAATTTAGCTACAGACAATTGACTGCAATTAAACATATTAACTGATTAAATTGATTGGCTAGAACACGCCCACAGTCAAAATACACCCAACAAATATATATATTACAAGCCATTTTGTTACATGGTGACATTTGCCTTGTTGAAACATGTCTGGGTTCATTGTAAACTAAAGGACATCAGGGACATGTGTGGATGACATGAAATCTCCTCCACTGTTCAGGAGGCGCCCCCTACAGTGCTGAAGAAGAAACGGGGGCGGCAGCTGATCTTCTTCGACCCAGAGACGCAGATCCCAAATGAAGAGTTGGAGAACCAAATCAACCAGCCTATGACAGAGACCAGACCCCTGCCTATCATTCTGTCTCTGCCTCCGCCCACTGCTGCGGAGTTATTCACCAGGCCGTGCACCTGTCAGTACCACGTACAGAACAGAACAGAATGACGTTAGACTCTCATCTGTTACAGTGTTTTATAACATTATCATTATTACACTGTTGTAATGCAGTGGTTCTTAAACTGTGGTAGGTGTACCACCAGTTGTACACCAGCGCTCTCTAGTGGTACGCGGGGAAAATTCATATTTTCACAATTTACATTTTCAGTTTGAATAAATCTGAAACATCCCATGCACAATTAATACAACATTTAGAACGTAAACATCTTTATAACCTGCGTTATATATCATATATAGAGCAGTTTCTTATGTGTTATGTAGTATGATATGTTATGTATGTTATGTTTATGTAGTTTCATATACTCACGGTGGTACTCAGAGAGCTCAGTGTTTTATTAATGAGTGCAGTTAAAGCATTCATTTTGACTGCCCTAATTGTTGTATTAACCTTTTTGCACACACACAGTTTGACTGTATTCTTCAACAACTTAACAAAAAAAATCTTACTAATAAGTCATATAAATCAAAAAAGAAAAGTAAAAAAAACAAATTCATTCCTCAGGCACCACGTTTCAGACGACTTCCGTTTTTTAAAAAGCATTAAAATAAATTAACCTTTTCAAAAATAAACTTTTTTTTTTCTCCTCCTGCAGTCTTGCCTGAAGAGGCGCGGTATCTATGGGAACGAGCAGCGACTATCACATCCCTCCCCAGCTCAGACCTGCAGCTCGTCCAAAGAGGATCTGAGTCCACAGAATCAGAGAAGGAGAAGGAGGTGTTGGAGGTGTTGGAGGTGGAACAAGTGGAGCAGAGACGGAAGCTCAGCTCCAGAGAGGTGTGACAAATCATTAACAACAGAGAACGAGTGTCGTTTGATTCTGCAGGTTTATTCCAATTTGATTGTGCAAAAAAACAAAAAAAAACCGTTTGATTCTGCAGGTTTATTCCAATTGGATTGTGCAAAAAAACAAAAAAAACAAACATTCAAATGTTTCTTGTTTAATTCATCAGGATGATTGGATGTGTGATTTTCATGCTTCAAACTGTTTAATTTATGTGGAATTCTGCATGAAATCGCCTTCTAGACGAAACACTCTTGTGACTCAGCATGACATCACGTGTGTGTGTGTTTGTGTGTGTGTGTGCAGGAATCAAAAGATCTGACGGATTCAGAGATGTTCTCAGGTAAATAAAGTGTGTGTGTGTGTGTGTGTTAGTGTCGCAGCTCGTGTCACTGTTTGACCCAGAACGTGTGTTTGTGTTTAACTGCTGGTTTAAAACCTTCTCCTCACTTTGTCACCGTGGACATCAGTTACAGCCAGCGCAGGCCAAAGACGTTTCACAGTTCACAGGGGTCAGGCTGGGGTCAGAGGTCGAGGTTTGGCATGTGTCACTTATGGTTAAAGGTTGTAGCAAGACTTTAGGGAATGGATAGGAATCTGTTTGTGTGTGTGTGTGTGTGTGTGTGTGTGTGTGTACACCTGCTGTAGCTAAACTTGTGGGGGAACTTTATGCTGTGCCGACAGTTTGTCCTTGTGGGGACAGTTTGCAGGTCCCACTGAGTGAGGGGGTATTTTGAGGTTTGAGACTTGGATCAGGGTTAAAGTTAGAGCAAGGATCAACATTTGGCACAGATTTATAATATTAAAAAATAACTTTATTACAGTGACATTTTCACAGTCCACCAAAAACTGTGTGTTTGTCCATTTGTGTCTGTGTGTGTGTGTAGTGTAGGTATTTTTATACTTGTGGGGACATTTTGCAGGTCCCCACCGAGAAATAAGATTTTTAAAAAATTTTTAATTTAGTTTGGAGATTAGAATTAGGATTACAGTTAGGCATAGATTAGGGAATGCATTATGTAAATGTGGAGTCCTCACAACTCACGAAATCCAGAATCTGTGTGTGTGTGTGTACAGGCCTGTTGCTGGACAGCACTGACCAGAGGGACGTATCTGGAGAGATCTCACCTCTGATCACGTCAGACAGAGAAGGGTGAGTGTCAAAGAAACATATGAAGAGACGAGTCTGAGTGCAGTCACAAATCTGATGTGTGTGTGTGTGTGTGTGTGTTGGCAGGTCAGTTGTGTCCAGGTTTGTTTCTGCTCTGGTGGACATACCAGAGGTGGTGGGAGAGTCTCAGCAGATTGGAGAGTAAGACAGTGTCCAGTTCAGAACCTCTGCCCACAGTTCAGGAGTGGAGAACCTGACGGAGTGTGTGTGTGTGTGTGTGTGTGTGTGTGTTGGTTTAGGTCACTGCCTCCTGAACCTGCGTCGGCACCACTGCTTTTTCACTCTCTCCTGCCGCCAGAGGCCAACCGCAGAACTGTCAGCACCATTTTCCGAAGGCTCCTTGGTAAAGGATCAGTTTCAGTCCTCGCCGAATCGTGCCATTACTCAAGTTGAAATAGTGTTAACGTTACTGCATCAGCGCCTGGGGACTCTCCTAAATCAGAACACACACACACACACACACACACACACCTGGCTCTGAGTCCACATGTCCAGAGTTCAAATCTACAACAACACTGGGTGACAAGTTTCTCCCTTATATTTTACAAAGTATTTTCATTTGTGTACTCACTGAGTACCAGACCAGTTTAAATAAGTATATTTCAATCCTAAAGGATTTTTATTAAACAAATAGTATTCACACCAACAAAAACAAATTTAAAAAATATATAAAACAATAAAAATAAATAAATATAGACATTCTGCTTGCTGTAATACCACCATCTGAACAGAAAGTGAGCGGAGCTTTTACACCATTATCGCCTTTCAGTTAAAAACTGATTTTTTTTGTCCCCCCCTAAAACTGAAAAAACACAGTTAAAAAGGAACTCTGTTTTCGTCCTCAGATGAGGCCATTGATGACTGGCTGTAAAGACATGGTTACATTGATTATGTTGTTGTTCGTGTGTGCGTACATATGTCGTCAGAGTGGCTCCAAACAAAGACGCTCTCAGTAACTGAGGTCAATCAGTTAAAATGACAATTATTTCCAGTGTGATGTTTTTTCACATGAACTCAGACTCTTTCACTCTTCAGATGAAATCTCAAATCTTTTTATTTGAAACAGTTTTTTTTTTCTTCTGTTTTCAGAGATTCTCTCAGAGAAGAAGGTGCGTGCGGAACAGGATCAGCCTTTTGGTGACATTAAAATTCTACCTGCAACTTGATGATGAAGGGCTGGATCTGCGGCTGCACGTTGACCTGTTCTGGTCTTTTTCTATTGTTTCCAAAATAATAAGTGTTTTCTGAAAGTTTTTAAAAAAAGTTTTTACAATGTTTGTAATGTTTTTCTATAGGATCCCGAGCATGAATTGGCGTCAGATTTCTCGTTGATAATGCAACTTTTTTCTCTGCTTCTACTGCATGATTTTTCCAGAGGAATGTTTTTAATGTTATTAATGTTTTTTAAAATTGTTATAGAAATCAGCTCTTGTTACGTTGGAAAAAAAACCCAGTGTCTGTGAGTTCCCCTGACCATGAACTTCAATATAAAAAAATTCATCAGAGTTATTTCTGTTGAAGAGTCACTTTTTAAAAACGGCATCCGCGGCGTGCGTGGCAGGGCAGGTGCGGTGAAACATGTTGCCGGGGTTAAGGAGGTGCAGGAGGGAGAGCAAGTTAGTAGAGTGAAACTGGATCCTCCCTCCCTCCCCGCTCGGCCGTTGCTCCCACCGACCACATCTTGATTCTCCTGGAGAGACGTTCTCGGGGGACTGCCACCAACATTTATTCTTAGCTTTAGTCTCAGCTCTCGCTCCGCACTTGTCCTCCACTCGTCTTTTTCTCTGTCTTTTCCTTCTGTATTTGGTTTATCCCGTTTAGTTTGATTCAACTTTTTCCTGCTTCCTGTCAAAAGTTTTTTTTTTTTTTTGTCTTTTAGTTTGTGACTCAACACTATCTTGTCTCGTTTTTGTTTGGTCCCAACTAAACTTTCAGCTTTTTTTTTTCTAGCATTATTTTAATAATTTTTTTTTCTCCAAAAATTCCTAGTCATCAAGTTTTTCAACTGCTGCCTCCTCTTCAACTCCCTCCATCCTCCTCCTCTTGAACAGCTCTGCACTCGTGCATGATGGGAAAGACGGAGCTGTATTCTCTCTTCAAGGGTCTCCTGGACTGTGTTTGCCTCTGTCTACCTGTGAGTATCTCCATCTCACATCCAGATCATTTATCTCACGTGCACTTCACTCTGTTTTCCTGTCACCTCCCCATCGCGGCTGACCTTTTGACCTTATGATTTGTCCCATGAATTCATTTCTGAATTCTTGGTTTGAGTTTTACACTGTGTTGCCCTGAGATGCAGTGCTGTGACACGGTCTGTGTTGTCTCTGATACCAGAGTGTCTCCTCAGCACATGCCGGGCGTCTGATATTAATAACAGTCTCAGAGTGGAGGGATTGAAATGGAGCCTCTGCTCCTGAAGCGGCCACAAGTCATTTGACATTTCTTTTTAGCTGTTGTTTAAACCGGTACGAACTTCACGCTCAGCAGTTTTTACTTTTTACATTTTTATCTGCCTTCACGTGACCTCCATGAATGTGGTGTGGGTCGAGAGAATCATTGTCCACAGCATCTTCTGCTGTTTCTCTGAATCAGCCTCAGTCTAACAGCAGCACCGTGTTTAAGTTTGATGTGTTTTTGACAAAATATAAAAATATAACTTTGATTTTGTTTTAGGTCTACAGTTACCTGAAAGTATGTTTAATTTTCTTTTACTTTATTGTGGATCTACTTCTATGTGTCATATTTATGTGTTTGATTTCTTCTTTTATTTTCATATGCCTCCAGTAGATAAATCTCTTCTCTGTCATATTTACAACTAAAGGCTTTAAAAAAATGGTCGATCAAAATGTCTAGAGACAGATTAGAGACAGAGACTTTCAAAATGTGTTAAATTTTACTTGCGTTACATGTTGAAAATCATCAATGTTTTGTCAGGTGTTGAGCTAAAAAAGAAAGTGAACTAAATTAATTTAAAAACTTTAACTAATCTTAAATAAATATAAAAGAGTGTTACAATTAATGCACAACAGGTATTGATCCAGTTTCATCCATCCATCCATTCATCCAAGTTTTGCTTTACCACTAGATGGTGGTATTATCTACACAGCGTACCTTTAAGTCTTATGTAAATATTCTGAAAATGTTCCGTCTGTTTTTTTTTTTCACCCATCCAACATTGGACCTCAGCGGAGCGGTGAAGAAGCTGCAGACATAAATAACCAGCGGGACACGGAGAACGGTCACCTGATCTACAAAAATGGAGACATCCTGGTGGACAGATGTAGGTACTGATGATGTGAAGAAATAAAATCATGACTCAAATATTTAGAAAAATCCTCATACGTTTTATGTTTCTTTACTAATCTGCCTGACAGATGAGATCATGGACACTCTGGGGGAGGGAACGTTTGGGAAGGTGGTGCAGTGTGTGGACCGCAGCAGGTAACTGAATCTAACTGAAAACTGTGGCTAATTAATTTCAATAACTACAGAAATGTTACTTCTAACCAAAGGCTTATCTGACTAGCAGAACATTTGTAAGTGGCAGCACCTTCGCCTTTTACTTTATTTCACATTATTCTATGTCAGACATTTGTTGATTTTTTTATTTTATTTTTTAGGGGGGGAAGCCAAATCGCTCTGAAGATAATTAAAAACCTGGAGAAATACAGAGAAGCTGCCAAACTGGAGATTAATGTGTTGGAGAAAATTATAGAGCGAGATCCACACAACAAGAAGTGAGTGTGTTGTTGTCGTTGTCGTTGTTGTTGTTTTATCTTTAATTCATTATATGAAGAAGATGATGTTTTGTTTTTGGTGTTCTAACCGTTTCACCCTCCACTCCACCAGACACTGTGTGCAGATGCTGGACTGGTTCAACTTCTATGGCCACGTGTGCATCTCCTTCGAGCTGCTGTCTCTCAGCACCTTTGACTTCTTGAAGGCAAACAGCTTCCTGCCTTATCCTATTAACCAGATCCGACACATGGCCCAGCAGATCTGTCACGCTGTCAGTTGTGAGTCCAACTGTGCATCACTCTGACTGTGCCTTCATGCTCCTCTTTCCTCTGTTCTTCACATAATTGTCTGTACTGACAGTGAGCAGATTATTACGCCTCGCTGCATCATAAACAAACCAAAAAAAACAACAACAATCTATTAAGGAAATGCATTTTTGGAATGACCTAGAGGTCAATAAATTAATTATAAATGATGTAACTTTTAATATTATTATTATAAATGAAGGTATCACCAATAAAATACTTATATTTAGTTACATTAGCGGTGATTATCAATACAGTACCATCTTTACCCACAAGTCATTTGGCCCTAATGTCAGGTGTTCCAGTCCAAGTTCCACCTGCCAACATTAGTATCTAGTGATCCTCAGGTATACTGTGGTAAATGGATGTGTGTCTTACTTCAATTCCTGCAAGTATACAGTATCACTGTTGTGTTCAACTAAACAGGTCCAGGTTTCACACTGAGTAAGTAAATATTTAAATAACTGAACCTATGTATTTAGTTTCATTCGTGTATTTCTGTACTTCAGCACCCATCATGCATTGCAAATTGCTTCAAATATTGCAATTATTATTGCAAGTTCTAAGGACTTTCTTTCTTGTTCCAGCTGAATTTGTCAATGTGTCATCACACCCCCCCCGTCTTATTCCTCTCTCTCTTCTTCTCTTTCTCCCTTCAGTTCTCCATGACAACAAGCTAACTCACACCGACCTGAAGCCTGAGAACATCCTGTTTGTTAACTCAGAGTACTCCATCGTATACAACACCGAGAAGGTGAGAAACAGCTGTAAGAAAATCAAGATTCAAAGTGTTTTCCATCACGCTCAACAATTAAAGTCACACAAATAAGAAAGGATTCAAAAGTTAAAGTTAAAAAAACTAAAAAAAACCCAAATATGATCAGAGCGGAAAATGAAAGTTGAAACATTAAGCCAATGAGGGAGAAGTTAACATCTCAACACCGACGTCTGAGTCATTTCACCTTTAAGTAAAATTGTTAAAAAGAAACAGTTTAGTTTAACATTTGTTTGTTTCTGGAGGGGAAACCGAAGTAGTTTCCATTAGCGCTGGTTAGGCTAACATGATAATACGACTTAATGACAATTGCTTTAACGCCCCTATTTTTGGAAGGCGATTTAAGCGCCACATACCTTCTGTGATTTGACCCTGGGGCGAGCCATGTAGTGTGAGGACGCACTTCAGACACGCGGCAGTAACATCAAAGTTTCAAACGCCCTCTGGATGTTGGTCCTGGAATCTGCTGATCGCTCCTTTACTGAGCAAAAAACAGAAACAGTGCTACAGTCCTGAAACTATAAAAATATCCTTAGAACAGATTGAAAATATGCAATAAATTTGTGATTAGTCGAATCACTGATTATTTATGATTAAATATTTGAATTTGATCGACTGCCCTAGTTATCCATGGATCTTGAAGATCATAAAATGTAAATTTATTTCACATCCATAATTATTACAAATGTGTATACATCTGAATCATGTAATATATTTAATATATATATATATTATATGTCATGTCTGTGGTGAATAACTATAACAATGTTTTTGCTGAGGTGACGCCCCCTACTGTCTTCTTCCAGAAGTGCAATGAGAGGAGAGTAAACAACACAACAGTTCGCCTCATTGACTTTGGCAGCGCCACCTATGACCACGAACACCACTCTACGCTCATCTCCACCCGTCACTACAGAGCCCCGGAGGTCATCATGGGTAATACACGGCGGATGTCGAAAGCGTAGATTAACCCGGGAGCGGTCGGTCACGTTCAGTGGCTTCAGTCTGTCGTCTGTTCTCTTCCAGAGCTGGGGTGGAGTCACCCGTGTGACGTCTGGAGCATCGGCTGCATCCCGGTTGGATAACTCCAACGTTCTCCGGCTTCCCCGCGCACTAAGAC